CACTGATTATTCATTTAAATACTAATCTAAGAACTGCTCTGAATAGATTTTGCAGGTGTAATTAAAACCCCGAGTCGGCTGACCTTAAAATTCAGACTATCCAGGCAGTCCTGACCCAAACAGGTAATCCCTCTTTAACAGCAGAAAGTTTCTCAGGCTGGTGGCAGAAGAGGAATTAGAGAAATTTGAAGAATAAGAAGAACTCAACATGCCATCACTGAACTAAAAAGGGATGGGTCACATAAGAAATGTGAGTGACATTGAGAAGCAGAGAGCAGTCCTTAGTTGAAAGCCAGCAAGAAAATGGGAACCTCAGGCCTAAAACCACAAGGCAGTGGATTCTGCCAACAACCTGAAGGAACTTGAAGCAGATTGTTCCCCAGAGCCTCCAAATAAGAGCCCAGCCAAGCCTGCCTGGACTTCTGACCTACAGAACTATGAACTCATAAGTGAGTATTGTGTTAAATTGCTAAATGTATGGTAATTTGTTTTGCGGTCATAGAAGATTAATACATAACTCTTATACTAGTATATGAGAAACCTGGCCCTAATTTCGTACCCTAGCTATCCATGCTACTATAATGAATAAAATCTCAATTCACTTAATATTATTCCTAAGTGCAAGAGAGGTTTTAATCATGATGCATTTTCATCATCAGAGGTTTACATCAAAATTGCCTGATGCAGTGACAGTGACTGTTTAATAAATCTGAATGCCCTCCCATCTTGAGATCCTTTATTATTTATTAGGCTCACATATAGGGCACTTCATAAGTATATGTAGTATTGCATAGGCCCACTCAGAGCTGCAGTAAAAGTTTCTCAAGGATCTATGACTTGCTCTTTCCTATATTCTGCTAAAAGATCTGACTAGATCCTAAACACACATTAGGCATTCAAAGAAAGAACCTGTCCGACTAATATAAGTATTTATTATATTGTATTAACTTTGGTTATCCCCAAGTGAGCAAAAGGTTATGAAGTATACAAAAGGAACATAGTAAAAGGATGAGGCCACCAAGGCATCTTGGCATCTTACCTTTACATCTGGCACCTGGGCACCAAGGCTGCTGAGTCCCACGATGGAGTAGAAAGCAGATTCTAAACTTGTGAAAGGGTGGTCCAGCGAAGCTTTCAGTCTCTCCACATCATGCTTGGTGAGGTAGTGAGTGGGCGTCAGAGCCTGGGCATTGGCTATGATTATCAGGGCCAACAGGAAGACAGTGCTTGGACCTTGAGGAAAAATGACTATTAAACACACTCCATACTATTCCAAAGTCTATACAGAGTTTCAATGATGATGCCCACCAAGGTCTAAAAACCAAATCATGTAAGGAAGGGTGAGGGAACTGGAAGGTTTAAACTGGAGAGAAGCCTTGGGGAAATGGTAGGCACTGTCTTCAACTATCTGGACAGTCCTCCCAGCAGCCTCCATGTGGCTAAAGCACAGGACTCATGACACTATTCCCATTTCAAGTACACTAGCAAAGTGAAATAAGCCAGTCAATGAAGGAAAAATACCACATGATCTCACTCATTCATGGATAATAGAGACCATTATAAACTTTTGAACAATAATAGATACAGAGGCAGAGCTGCCTCAAACAGATTGTCAAACTGCAGCGGGAAGGCCGGGGAGGGTTGGGGGGCAGGAGGGAGGGGGGTAAGAGATCAACCAAATGACTTGTATGCATGCATATAAGCATAACCAATGGACATAAGACACTGGGGGATAGGGGAGGCTAGGGGACTGTCTAGGGCGGGGGGATAAAATGGACACATATGTAATACCCTTTGTAATACTTTAAGCAATAAAAAAAAAAAATCACAACACATAAAAAAAAAATAAATAGTCAATAAATTGTGTAATTTTTGCAATCTTGTAAGAGAAGCGTCATTAAAATATTAAAATCATAAAAAAAAAAAGTACACTAGCAACTCCTACACCTCTCAGGACAGACACAATCCTGAATCTTCATCATGGCCTTGCCTACCTCTCAATCAGATCTCTTCCCTCACTTCCTTCTATGACTCTCTAACCTCCTCTCTGCTTCTCTAAGGTGCCATGTTTTTCCCAACCCAGCATTTTTTCATGCTTTCCAAACCTACTTACACTTTGCTTAATTTTTACGTTTAGATTCCAGTTCAAGTATCTTTTCCTTAAGAAACCTCCCAATAGGTCTCCCTTGGATTAGGTCCCAAGTCAGTACTATGAAGTAGTGAAAAATATGGCCTCTGGAGCCAAGTTTAAATCCTAACTCTGCCATTTATTAGCAATGTGACTGTGGCAATTACAATGAGGCCAGCCTGTGCCTCACTGTAAAAAGGAATTAATAATAGTACCTACTCCTCAATGTTAAGAGCTTTACATGACTTAATATACGAAGATCTTAGAATAGCGGTTGACACTTAACAAGGACTATCTAAATGTTAGCTAAGTTGTTATTGTTGCTATATCCACTCATTGCAACCTGTACTTCTATATTTTTCACAACTATAACAGTGTAATGTGTGATGCCTCTGCTAAACTGTAAGTTCCATGAGGACAGACTCTTTTGTTCATCTCAATATTTCCAAGTCTTGCACACTCCCTTGGACAAAGGAATATTGAATTAACATTTGCTAAATAAATGGAAATAAAATTAATCCTCATCTATTATGCCCAGGAAACAGGAAGTCATAGGAGTGGTACAGTCTACTTGTCATTAACACACACACACACACACTTTTGAATAGTCTGTGTCATGAACTGCCTGCTATCCAAGTAACAGTGATCACAAGGGTAGCATTAATGGTCCTAAATTCTTTGTCTACAGTGTCAAACTTAGTTTGAACTAGAACCCTTTAAGAAAGGAATTATTATATCCATTTTACAAATAAAAAAATTGAGGACCAGAGTAGTTTACACATAGTCAGTCTTGGACTCAAACCCAAGTCTAAGTAGTGTCCACACTGCACTATGTTTTGGAAAATGTTGTAGAAGAGATGCTTACCTTGGGGCATGAAGGTTAGTTAGTTCTACTTAATTCCTTGTGTGTATTAAGTAATCTAGAGTGTAAAAACTCTTAAAAAAACAACAAAAACTAGAGCCCAGCTGGTGTGGCTCAGTGGGTGAGCATCAACCTATGAATCAGGAGGTCACTGTTCAATTCCTGGTCAGGTCACATGCCTGGGTTTCAGGCTCAATCCCCGGTATGGGGCATGCAGGAGGTAGCCGATCAATGATTCTCTCTCATCATGGATGTTTCCCTCTCTCGCTCTCCCTTACTCCCTAAAATCAATAAAAATATATTTTTTAAAATAAAAATTTTAAAAACTAGAGATATTTATAATGTGGAGCACTCATTAATCAAATATTTACTGAATGCCTACTATGCACCAAACATTGTTTTAGTGTTGAAGATACAGCAGGAAACAGAGCAAACAAAAGCCTCCAACGTCATGGAGCTTACATTTTAACTGGAAAAGAAAAATATCTCACTAAATAATTAAGATGCATTATTTAGCATTTAAAAAGGTGAAACGTGCTATGGAGAAAAATACAACACAGAAAGGACACCTGAGAAGAACTTCAATTTTAAATATGATAGGCCAAGTAAGAAATAAAAAAATTTAGTAGACTTGAAGAAGGAGCAAATCATAAAGGTATTTGGCGGGAAACAAGCCCAAGAAGAAAAGCAAGTTCAAAGACCCTGAATCAGGAGTGTATATGGTAATTTTTTACATTAGCAAGAAGAACAGTATGACTAAAGAGGAGTAAGCAAAGGATGATAAGTAAGGACAAGGTGACAGATAGCAGAAGCCAAATCCAGAGGGTCTTATTAGCCACTGCAAGAACTATGGCTTTTACTGAGCAAGATGGGAGCCACTGGAAAGTTTTGAGCAAAGGAGTGATTTGACTTATATTTTAACAGAACTGTGTTGAGCATAAACAATATCATATTGAGACTATACAGGTCCAGGGACCTAAAGAGGGACACCAGTTAGGAAACTATTGCCATAATCCAAGTAAAAAGACGAGTGACCCAACAGGGTGACAGCAGTAGAGATGGTGAGAAGTGACCGGGCTAAAATTCATAGTTAAAGCCAAAATTGCTAATGGATAGAAAGATATGAGAGAATGAAGAGTCAAGATACTAATGCTGAATGAATCCCCAATGCCTTGTGTACATGCATATGCTCAATATACTAAAATCTAGCAAATGGCTATGATCTATCCAGCATTTTCCCAGCTAGACTGTAAATTCCCCTAACACAGCATCCGTGTCAGAATCCTAATCTTCCCACCTCCCATTAATGGTAACTATAACTTTCCTGGCTAAAATTTGCACACTTCACATGGGTCGGGTATGCCCATACTAAGCTAGGTACTTTGTATGCATTGAGTCATTTAAATCCTCAACATCCAAGTGAGTGCCCTTTAAAAACCAAGAAATTGAGACTCAGATAGTAATTACCTGCCCTACCACACACAACTACCTGAGAATCAAACGGCAGGCAACCGGCTTGAATCCAAAGTTTGTTTTTAACACCTCTTTTACCTTCTTCTTAAATAATGGAGCAGTAAGCCACTGGCCTTCTCTCTTCCCTCCCGCCTGTCACGTGGAAATCACAATAGTACACATTTCCCAAGCTGCGGTGGGACCTGAGAGTCTATCCTGCAGTGACCAGTCGTTAACTAGCAATGCAGGTAGCTTCACCGAGTGCTTGCTTAGTGACACACACTGTTGTAAACCATGCACGGAGGCCATCTCATTTAATACAGCAATTTAAGAGGCAGACAATGTGTAATCTGTTTTACAGATGAGAAACTGAGGTGCAGAGGGGGGTTGAGTAAATGGCGGTGGGGGTCACATAATAAATGCGTGGCGGCCTGCAAGTCAGCACCCGGAAAACCTGACTTCAGAACTCTCAACTCCCAGAGAGGTGATCTGCTTTGCCCCTTCCACTAAAAAGGAAACTGGGGCCCAATGGATCATTTGGCCAAAGGCTAGCTCTGCGGCCGCCGGACCCGGGAGCCCGCGCGAGTCAAATGAATGAGCGAAGCCGCGACCAGCGGTTAATCACGCCCCTCGGTGCCCGGCTGGTCCTCGGGGGTACCCGTAGCTCGGCACCGCACTCCCCTCCCAGCCCAACCCCTCCTCAGGTCCCGTGCATCCCACCCGCTCGCCAGCCCTCCCGCAGACTCTCGACCCCAGAGAGGCGGAGCCCATGCCCCAGTGCCGCCGAGGAAGGGGACCCCGCCTGGCCGGCTCCCGAGTGACGAACACTAGCCTCCCGCGGGCGCTGGCCCAGTCGCCGAGGCATGCCGTCCGCGGGGCCCCGGCGTCGAGCCATGCGCAGCACCTCACCCGGCGGCGCCATTCCTCCGAGCAGGTCCAAGAAGGGTCCGCACCGCTAGCGGACTTCCGCTCAGAAAAGTGGCTCCGGGAGCGCGCCGGAGGGGACGCCTGGAACTCGCGGCAGGCTCCGCGTGCTGAGATGCCCTCTAGGGACAGGTCAGTCCCCGCCGTCCCGCTGGGCCGGGCTGCTCCCTGTAGCCACAGCCGGAATTCTGGTCCTCGCGCCCAAAGGACCTCGCGGTCCTCGCGTACAGGCCCGTTCCCCCCGGCGCCCAGGTCCACTTGGTACCGGCCTCCTTGCAACGGTCTTATTCCGGGCGCTACCACGACGCTATTGGGCAAGGCTTCAGGGCGGGTCCGAGACGGGGCCACCTCTGATTGGTCGGTCGCCTGTCACTCAACCGTCTCTGCAGCCCGGCCAATTTTAAATGGGAAGGGTCAGGTGGGGAAGGGCGGTATTCGAGGGTTTTTGTGTGTTTTTTGTTTTGCTTTTTTATTGCCCTTTCGTAAATTATGGCAATTTCCTCCAAAGATTGTTTCGGTTGTTAATAACTAACCTATGAGTGCCATTTCATCTGATTTGCAAAGCGTTTGTCTTGACTCCCGATAATTCAGTGACTCCTCATTATTATGAGGAGCATATTAGCCAAGATTACGAAGTAACAAGTTCAAAAATGGAAGTGATCTAAGAACTAATAATAACTAATTCCACTTATTGAGAGTTAACAGGATAGCCCGACAGTGTCTCTACGTACACAACATTTCGTTTACTCCCTGTCACCACACTAGTTATTCCATTTGATAGAGAAGGAAACAAAGATTTGAACCCAGGTAGTTTGACTCCGTCATCTGTGCTTTTTAACTATTATGAACATACGAAGTATGCACAAAATGGTAACTCTTTTTTGTTTTGTTAATCCTCACCAGAGGATATTTTTTCCATTGCTTTTCAGAGAGGATGAAAAGGAGGGAGGGGAGAGCGACAGAGAGAGAGACATGGACTAGTTGCCTCCTGCACGAGCAGGGATGGGGAGAGAACCCGCAACCCAGGTATGTGCCCTTGACAAGGAACCTAACCAGAGACCCTTTGATGCTATAACCAATGAGCACCACCAGCCAAGGCACAATATGGTAACTTCTTATTATTAGTGCCCCAGATATTATTACCCCAAACAGTGAGAGTCAGTTCTTGCTATGTCTGGTGCTGTGCTGTTTAGTGTGGTAGATACTAGCTATATGTAAGTATTTAAATTTGAATTTAAATGAACCAAAAGTAAAAATTAGTTTGTACTAGCCACATTTTAAGTGCTCAATAGCCATGTGTGGCTAGTAGGTATCATATGGACAGAGCAGAATTATAAAACATTTCCACTATCACAGAAAGTACTATTGGACAGTGCTGATCCAGAATATATAAAGAACTCCTTCAACTCAATAATAAAATAACCAATAGTATGCTGGCGTCATCTCATACCGATTTGCAAAGTCAATTGTTGAATTTATCAGGAGTTTGCAAATTAGTTGTTAAATACAACTAAGAAAAATTAAATTATACAAACTGATAATGAAATAAAGTGTATTGAAAACCAAACTCATCACTTCCTAAGTGTTTCACTACATTTTCTCATTGTCTATGTTTTCGTGGCTGCTTATTTCTACTGTATCTGAATAGTGGAAATATATGATGGTGTGTGCTACTGCACATTTCTTCCCAAAGTGACATTGGTAGCTTGATTTTGGCCGCAACCATAGATTCAGCAAATGCTACAAACCAGAGCTTGATTTTATAAACAATAAAAACAAACACAAAACATGAAGCCACTTTAAAACAGAGCTGGAGGCTTCGTTTGGAGCATCACCCCATATACCAAAAGGTGTCGGGTTCAATTCCCGGTCAGGGCACATACCCAGATTTTGGTGTCAATCCCCAGTCGGGGTACATATAGGAGGCAACCAAAAAAACCCCATAAATATGTTTTGTTTTTTTAAAATGGAGCTGAAGCTACCATGCCAGAGGAAAACAGGGCAAAATAACCTTTGGACCTAAACAACTTTGTTTCCCAAAGAACTTTTTGCAAAAATAAGAAAAAAGCAGCCCTAACTGGTTTGGCTCAGTGGATAGAGCGTTGGCCTGCGGATTCAAGGGTCCCAGGTTCGATTCCGATCAAGGGCATGTACCTTGGTTGTGGGCACATCCCCAGTGGGGGATGTGCAAGAGGCAGCTGATCAATGTTTCTCTCTCATCGATGTTTCTAACTCTCTATCCCTCTCCCTTCCTCTCTGTAAAAAATCAATAAAATATATTTTAAAAAAAAGAAAAAAGCAGTTCTAACTGATGACTACCTAACTAAAAATTTAAAACATAGCCTAGAATTAACATCACTATATTGTTATCTTCACCAATAGAAATGCTTTCCTTCTATTAATGTAATTGTTCCTCTTTTTTTCCTCATAAATACCTATTGCCTTTGTCTCCTAATCAGAACATTATTTGGGCTTCCACCTGATTTGATTCCCAAATAGGTATTCTTATTGATCTCAAATAAATGCTTGTTTGCCTCTCACTTTGAAAGGCCTTTTTATTTTTAGGTTATCAATTATTGCTTTGTTACTGTCTAAACCTAGTGGTGGATAAAATGTTAATAGAAATTAAACTTAAAAATGTGCCATGTCTTTATAGACTTTACATTGTGAATAGTACAAAAATTTGAAGAAATATTTTTCTAGTAATGAAAACTGTTATCCAATAAACAATATCATAAATAAGTGCATCACATATTAGAAGGTATTTTGTCTATAGAAAAAAAGAAAGGGGAAGAGGGATTGAGGTAGGTGGGGAGTATTCTACCTCAGTCTCTTTTTTTTTTTCATTGAATGTATTGGGGTGACACTGGTTAATAAAAGTATTTAGGTTTCAGGTGTACAGTTCTATAATACATCATCTGTATGTTGTGTGTTCACCACCCCAAGTCAAGTCTCTTTCCATCACCATTTATCCCCTCTTTACCCTCTTCTACCTCCCCCCAACCCTCTTTCCCTCTGGTAAACACTGTACTGTTATCTGTGTCTGTTTTTTGTTTTCTTTTGTTTGCTAAGTCCCTCTACCATTTTCACCGAGCCAGGTAAACCCTCTCCCCTCTGACAGCTGTCAATCTGTTCTCTATGAGTCTGTTTCTATTTTGTTTGTTAGTTAATTTTGTTCATTACTACCCACATATAAGTGAAATCATCGTACTTGACTTTCTCTGACTAATTTCACTTAGCATAATGCTCTTGAGGCCCATCCACGCTGTAGCAAAGGGTAAGATTTCCCTTTTCATGGCGAGTAGCCTTTCTTTGTCTCAGTCTCTTTTTAACAGTGAGTTAGTATTTCTTATCTATCCATTTACTCCCCATAAAGCTGACAATATGCTAAGTGCTGAGGATACAACTATGACCATATAAATAGGGTTTCTCCTCTCATGAAGTTTATAGTTTAATGGGAGACAGTCAATAAACAACACAAATTAACTTGATAATTATAGGCAATGATTAAATACTATGAAAACAGAAAAAAATAACTGTTGGACTGGGGTGGGGAGAGGCTGGTTAACCTAGATTGGTGATCAATAAACGCCTCTGAAAAGTGACATTTAAGCTTGAGTGATGAGACAGAAGCAGTCTTGAAAAACTAATTTTTCTAATCCCCTCTTTTTTCGTAGGATCTGTAGTTGGGAAGTAGTAGTCCCTTATGCGTCCGATAGTGATTCAGGAAGTCTGGATTTGCAGCTGAGCAACTTAGAGGATATTATAAAGGGCCCAAGTAGCCTTGAATTTACAGGTAAAAGGGGAAAAGAACGGGGTGGAGGGGCATCTCTTTTCAAGTCAAGTAACTCGGTAACCAGCCCTTGACTGGACTTTGACAATGAATTTGGTCTCTGACTTTAAAACCTTGGAATATGATTGGAAAAATGAGATAAGATACATTATTCTAGACATACAGGATACTAACTTGGTCCTGAGACAAATAATCCTGCCTATTTGCACAAGGTCTAGTCTAGACTCTACATGCTAGAAGGATTCTGAGAAGAGAAAGGTAGGTGTGGGTGGAATTTGGATTGGCCTACAAAATAACTATCTTTCATTCATTCTATAACTATTAAGTACAGGCTGGTGCTGGTGCCAGCTTTGGGCCTTTTATTGATAGCTTTGGGGCTCCCTGACCCAGCTGCAGCTTGGTTGACAGGTTTTAGGCTGAGAAAGGACAGGCCATTCATATCCAAAAGCCACTGCACACAGCTTGGGTGGGATTGTATATTGGGTGGGACAGGGTTTCAGGGAATCTCCAGGGCGGAGCAAACAGAATTGGCTGCCAGTCAGCCCTGCACCAAGGAGGCCCCAGCACGAGAACAATGACATGCATCAGTGAACAAAACTAACATGGTTCCTGCCCTCACAATTTACATCATAGTGCTGAGAAGAACCAAAATAGGTAAAGAGACAGTAAATAAAGTAATTACAAGTTGTAGTAAACACTATGAAAGAATTAAACAAGGACTGAGACCCAAAAAAAATAAATAAATAAAGGGATGGGAACCTAATTTAAATCATGTTTGGCAGAGAGAACCTGTCTGAGACACTGCTGTTTAAACCTAAAGAGGGTCTCAAAGACCTGAAAGAGCTACCCAGGTGAGAAGTAGAGGGAAGAGCATTCCAGATAGGTGGAGCAGTATTTGCACGAGACAGGAAAGACTATAGTATGTTTGAGGAACTACGTTCATTTATTTGTACATTCATTCAATAAATATTTACTGAAGCCCCGCTATACTCTAAACACTGATCTAGCTGCTGGAGATAGAGCAGTGAGCAGAACAAATACAGTATACTCCTAAGGAAACAAAGAAATGGAACTCAGTTTAATATGTGATTGGGGATGGAGGTGGGAGTAAGGAGCAAATATAAAGAGGTTTATTAGCAGCTAGGAGGATATTTAGCCAAAATGAGCAGAGGGGATTCAGGAAAGGCATGCTGGAGCTGAGCCCTGAAGAATGAGTAAGAGTTAGATATGCAAGGAGAGATAAGGGAAGGTGGGACAGAAGAAGGAAAAACATACAAGCAAAAGGAAAGCCTTTGTGAAGATAGGAGGTGAACAAGAATATGGCTTCTACTGGATAACAAGGACATGGCAGGGAGTGGGAGGAATTTGCAGAAGAGGCTATAATTCAGGAGACCAAAAGGAGTAAAAAAATTGAGTGGTAGAAACCCTCAGATGATAGGTATGTTAAGGGGGAAATAGCCTATTTGTCCAATAGGAATAGGGATTTGGTATTGAAAAATAGAGAAGGTAAGGATGTAAACCTACATGATGCCACCACAATTATTGTCACTCAGTGAGCAAAGGAATAAGATTTGCCAACACTTCTTTGGTGCTAGTTCTATATCAGCCAAATGAGGTAGATTCTATAATGATCCCCATTTTGGAAATGAAGAAATAGGCCCAGAGAAAGTAAGGCCTCACAGAGTCAGAATGCTAGAAAAAAGCAGAGCAAGGATTCCCTACACTGGAGCCTGTGCCTTTAAAGTACATCTCAGGTCAGGAAGGAAATACCTCAAGCACGTATTGCAACCTGGTCAAGCAGGAAGAAAACAGCAAGGTACTGTTACTATATTTTAAGCTCTTGTCACCACAGTCATAAGCTTTTGAATTTGAATAATATCTACTATTTAAGTGCTTACTGTGGGCCACATACTGGAATAAGTCTTATATGTATTTTCTCACTTAATCCTCATAATGGTCCTGTTTTACAAGTGAGGAAACAGGTTTCAACAGACAAACTAACTTGATAAAAGTCATAGAACTAGAGGAGGAACCAAGATGGTGACATAGTTAAACACATGTACTTGCTGCCTCCCACTACCAAATCAAAATTACAACTAAAATACAGAACAGCTATCATCTAGAACAGCCGTGGGCAAACTACGGCCCGCGGGCCAGATCCGGCCCGTTTGAAATGAATAAAACTAAAAAAAAAAAAAAGACCGTACCCTTTTATGTAATGATGTTTACTTTGAATTTATATTAGTTCACACAAACACTCCATCCATGCTTTTGTTCCGGCCCTCCGGTCCAGTTTAAGAACCCACTGTGGCCCTCGAGTCAAAAAGTTTGCCCACCCCTGATCTAGAACCACGGGAAAGCTGGCTGAGTGGAAGTACTACAACTAGAGAGGTAAAGAAGAAAGCACTTTGAGACTGGTAGGAGGTGCGGAGGTATGGAACGGGCTGGTCTGGCACCTGGGTGTGCTGCTTTTTTAATCATGAGGGAGATCGCCTCTTTGGAGGCTGCCCGGAGGAGCGAGGAGTCCCAGCCCCACACCAGACCCCAGCCCAGGGTCCCAGAACTGGGGAAAGAAGTCCCTACGGGCAGTAAGAACTACAGACTATAAAAACAAGTGTGGATTGGGGCTGAGTGACACACAGGCTGCTGGAGAACCAGCTGCTCCTCTTAAAGGGCCAGCACCGTGAACTGAATTTACAAGCTCCCACTTTCTCTGAGTTCCAGTGCCAGGCAAGGCTCTGGGGGACCCAGACACAAACAGGGAGAAACTGGACTATCTGGCATTGGGGTAGGAATGCAGGGGTGGCTTTCTTCCAGACGGAGGTGCTCCCAGCAGTCATTGTTCCCATGCTGGGGTCTCCTCGGTGCAGGGCTGACTGGCAGCCATTTCTGTTTGCTCCACCCTGGAGATTCCCTGAGACCCTGTCCCGCCCAATTTGCAACCACATCCAAGCTGTGTGCATTAGCTTTTGCATATGAATGGCCTGTCCTTTTTCAGCCTAAAACCTGTCAACCAAGCTGCAATTGGGTCAGGGAGCCCCAAAACTATCAATAAAAGGCCTAAGGCCAGCACCAACACCAACCTGCCTTGCTTCACAGCTGGGCCTCATCTGGACACTTCCAAATCTGATACAAAGAGGAAGAATCTGCAGATCTCTCTGTAGCTCCTGCTGGGTGGCCCTATGCAGTGGCTGACTGCACATTCTTGTAGATCCAAGAGCCAGTGTACCCAGTGGTCAGTGTGAGACCGTACCAGATTACAACTCTTCACATCCATAAGTGACACACTCAAGGGGCAGACTCAATGAGCACCAAAGCCCCACTGAAGCAAGTCCTGCCTAATAAGGGTGTCTCCTGCACAGCAGCTCTCCCACTGTAGTCACAGCTGGTCCCTACAGCCAGTTGGCCTAGAGGTCAATTTCTCCCAGTGATACCAACAGCAATCACGGTTTAACTACAATAAGGTTGTGCACACAGCCCACAAAGGGGTGCATCAAGAGTGTCCACCGCAGGTGATTGGGGAGGTTGAGCCACTGGGCCCTATAGGACACCTACTACACAAAGCCACTCTATCAATTCAAGGAGACTTAGCAGCTACCTAATACATAGAAACAAACACAGGGAAGCAGCCAAAATGTGGAGACAAAGAAACATGTCACAAATGAAAGAAATGGAAGAAAGCAAACTACTGGATATAGAGTTCAAAAGCACAGTTATAAGGTTACTCGAGAATCTTCTAGAAATCTTCAAGGAACTTAGTGAGACCTTCAAGGATCTTAGTGAGAATGCCAAAAAAATGGAAAAGGACCAGTCAGAAATTAAGCATACACTAACTGAAATAAAGAATAATACACAGGGATTCAACAGTAGACTAGAGGATCCCAAGAATCAAGTTAATAATTTGAAATATGAGGAAGCAAAAAGCACCCAGCCAGAATAGCAAAAAGAAAAAAGAATCCAAAAATATGAACATAGTGTAAGAAGCCTCTGGGACAATTTCAAGCATATCAACATCCAAATTATGGCGGTACCAGAAGAAGAGAGAGAGCAAGATACTGAAAACCTATTTGAAGAAATAATGACAGAAAACTTCCCCTACCTGGTGAAAGAAATAGACTTAGAAGTCCAGGAAGCGCAGAGAACCCCAAACAAAAGGAATCCAAAGAGGACCACACCAAGACACATCATAATTAAAATGCCAAGGGCAAAAGACAAAGAATCTTAAAAGCAGCAAGAGAAAAAAAGTTACCTACAAGGGAGTGCCCATACAACTATCAACTGATTTCTCAACAGAAACTATTCAGGCCAGAAGGGAGTGGCAAGAAATATTCAAAGTGATGAATAGTAAGAACCTACAACCAAGAATACTCTACCCAGCGAAGCTATCATTTAGAATTGAAGGTCAGATAAAGAGCTTCACAGACAAAAAAAAGCTAAAGGAGTTTATCACCACGAAACCAATATTATATGAAATGCTGAAGGGTATTCTTTAAGAAGAGGAAGAAGAAGAAGAAGAAGGTAAAGATAAAAATTATGAACAACAAAGTGACAACAAATACATATCTATCAACAAGTGAATCTAAAAATCAAATGAATAAAAAATCTGATGAACAGAATAAACTGGTGAATGGAATAGAATCAGAGGCATGGAAATGGAACAGACTGACGGTTCTCAGAGGGAAGGGGGTGTGAGGGGGTTGTGGGAAGAGATAAGACAAAGATCTTTTATGTATGCAGTACCTATGGATACAGACAATAGGGTGGCAAGGGCCTGCGGTGGGGTGGGAATTGGGTGGAGGAAAACTTTGGGGGGGGGGAAAGGGATATCTATAATAATCTCAACAATAAAAAATTTTTTTAAAAAGTCATAGAACTAATAAGTGGGAGAGCCAGGATTCCAGCTAGTCTGAAACTGAGATAAGGTTTGTGTTCTTAACAGCTCTGCTAGAGTTCACTCCAATGTTTTTGTAGCTTAGGAAGCCCTTAGAGAACATTGAATTTGTAATTGAGAAAACTGAGACTCATAAAGGGGAATGGCTTGGGCAGAGCAAACAGTAAAGGTGAGAACAGGTGGTTTTCCCCACTAAACCGTATAACTTTACATAGTATGGGGGCATCATCTGATGTCTTTCTTTTGATATTAGACTCAGACATCTCTGTCATCTCTTGACTTCCTCTAGAATCCCTCACAGATAGGTTCAGATACCTGACTCATGACGATGCCTTCAGTGAGGCCAACGTTGAGAACCTGATCGAGTCCATCCAGGAGTTTTTTCATGGTGAGCTAAAGGTACGCACAAGCAATCTTTTTTTTTCTTTTTTAATATATATTTGATTGATTGTTTAAAGAGAGTAAGGGAGAGGATAGAGTTAGAAACATCGATGAGAGAGAAACATCGATCAGCTGCCTCCTGCACACCACCTACTGGGGATGTACCCGCAACCAACAAACATGCCCTTGACCGGATCGAACCTGGGACCCTTCAGTCCACAGGCCGACGCTCTATCCACTGAGCCAAACCGGTTAGGGCACAAGCAATATTTTCAAGTTATCCATCTTATTCCTCCATTTTAACAAATATTTTAAACTCTATTCTTTTTATACAAATAATTTATAAGCTCTAAATTTTATATTTATACTTTTTTATTTTTCTATTTATAATATATATTTATAACACTTATTACATTCCTATAAAAATTATTACATTCCTATAAAAACAAAGAAAATCATAATAAAAATTTAAGTTAATCTTCATTAATTCTACTGTCCTGAGATGACTGCTGTTAACATTTTGGTATATATATTTTCAGAGTTTTTTCTGTGCATACCCATGAATGTAATTATAGACAAATAAACATCAGAAATGGTGGGAGAAAAACATTTCTAAGTCAATAGCTAGAATCTATATTATCCTGCCCTGGCTGGTTGTGGCTCTTTAGTTAAAGCTTGTGCCCACGCACTGAAGAGACTCGGGTTTGATTCCTGGTGGAGGGCAAGTACCTGGATTGTGGGTTTGATCCCTGGCCCTGGTCAGGCAAGTGTGGAAGGCAACTAGTCAATGTGTGTCTCTCTCACACCAATGTTTCTCTCTCTCTCTCTCTCTCTCTCTCTCTCTCTCTCTCTCTCTCTCTCTCTCTCTTTCTCTTTCCCTCCCCCCTCCCCACCACCCCCTTATTTTCTTCTCCCTCTCCCTCCTCTCTCCCTCCCTTCCACCCTCTCTAAAAACCAATGGAAAAAATATCCTCGGTGAGGATTAACAACAACAACAACAACAAAAATCTATATTATCCTACTTAATACAGTATTCCATTGTTTAGGTGAAACATTCATCCATTCACTTATTCATTCTATGAGAGTACATAACAGAAGAATTGATCATAACCTGGGAGTAAAAGAAGGCATTGCTGAGGAAGTAACCCTTAGCTTAGATCTGAGGAATGAATAGGTGAAAATAGAAGTTAGAGTTGGAGGGTGTGTTCAGAAAAAGGAAATGGAGTGCTTGACAACTTTGTGGCAGAAAGGAGCAGAGAATCAAATAAAGTCTGGGATGTTTAAAGCATAGTGTGGAAGGTGTGTCATTCGTCAACAGACACTTAGGTTTCCATATTTTGGTTCCTATGAATAATGATGCAATAAACAAGGAAGTGCAGACATCTCTTTGAGATCCAGATTCATTTCCTTTGGATATATGTACATATACACAGATGTTTTTGGTTTGTGAAAATTGATCAAGCTTTACATTTTTTTTCTATGTATAATACCAGTAAAAATGTTTTTAAAACCAGAATGTTGGTCTTCACTTTTGACTCAGACTATTTCCCAAAGGCATCACAAACTCAACATATAAAAACTAAGTGGCCGCAGCCGGTTTGGCTCAGTGGATAGAGTGTCGGCCTGTGGACTGAAGGGTCCCAGGTTCGATTCCAGGTCAAGGGCACGTGCCAGAGTTGCAGGCTCCATCCCCAGTGGGGGTTGTGCATGAGGCAGCCCATCAATGGTTTTCTCTCATCACTGGCGTTTCTATCTCTCTCTCCCTCTCCCTTCCTCTCTGAAATCAATAAAAATATATTTAAAATAAATAAATAAAATAAAAACTAAATGAATTTGAAGACATTAGCAGGGGTCCCTTTGGGAAGGGCCTTGACCTCCATGGGTGCTATTGAAAGATTTTTGATAGAGAGTCACCTGGTCAAATTTGCATTTTTTAAACAATCTGATGATGGGGGAGGGGGAAGAATAGATCGGAGAGAAAGAAAAACTAGAGCAGGCAAACCTAGTGTTGCATTGTTATACTAATCCTGGTGAGAGATAATCAGGCCATAAAGTCAGATTCTTGCTCTGTATTGCTACTTGCTTTCCAGAGAGCTTCTACCAGTTTTATACCATCTATATGTGTGGAGGAGGGGGGATAGGAGATGAGACAAGAAGAAATTTTCTCCAGATTGTGGAATTATTGGTCTTTTATTTTCTTCTTTATACTTTATTTTTTACAAGTTTCTATGGTAAATAGATAGTGCTTTCATATTTAGAAAAAGAGAATAACACAAAAGAGATTTTGTTCTTCAAATCAGAACTTGCATTTTAATAGGAAACAAAGACTCAAAATAATGAATATTTAATGGCATCAAGAGAGCTAGAAGTAACAGCATCGGAGGTCTCCTTTAGGAAGCTTAATCAGACAGCAGTATGCAGGGTGAGTAGGTGAGGCAACAAAGACTAAAGGTAAGAAAAGCCATCAAGGAGCACTTAGAAATCTAGCTGAGAGGGAAAACGAGGTCACAAACCCAGGCAGGACCAGTGGACAAGGAATTCAGTCCTCTGTAATTTATTCATTACTCATAATAAAAGACTGACATTGGATTGAATGACATGTCCGTTGTTTAAAACATTCCAAGAAACTTCAAAAGCCCTCTATAATGACCAAGTGGGATGACAATGTATAATTGTATTTTTATCATTTTTTTTACAAATTCAGAGTGAACATGAGAAGCTGACATACCTAAGATCTTTGTCTTCTCTCAGCCGAATTTTACCTTATGATGAAACCACAGAATCATTCATTCACGGCCACATCGCAGACATTGTGCATATTCTATACGTAAGTATCATGACTTTATCACAAATTATTGGGGCCATGCAAATTCAGTGATCTGGCTAACAAATTTTTAGTGGCTTCACTTTTTTTCCCCCCTGTTAATCCTCACCTGAGGGTATTTTTCCATTGATTTTTAGGGAGAGTAGAAGAGAGAGGGAAAGACAGAAAGAAACATTGATGTGAGAGAAACACATCAATTGGTTGCCTCCTGCATGAGCCCCGACCAGGGCCCAGGCCTGAGGGGAGCCTGCAGCCTAGGTATGTATGTGCCGTTGACCAGAATCAAACCCAGGACCCTTTGATCCACAGGCTAATGCTCTATCCACTGAGCCAAACTGGCTAGGGCTTCACTTTTATTATTGATCCCCTTATCCTTTTCTCATATCAGTATTTCTGCATGGAGGAGAAATACTCAGGGGTACTCTACAAATGTAATCAGCCTTGACAAATCAATTGAAAAAGAAGTAGAAAGGAGCGGGGTAACAATTAAATTTCTCAGTAAAAACAATGCTGTGTTCTCATTAATCAAGCAGTAGTTCAGAGGCAGACTCTATAATGCAGTACCTAGGTTCAAGGACTAGCTCTGCCTCTTTCTAGCAATGTGACTTTGGAAAACTACCAACTTCCCAGTGCCTCAGTTTCTTCATCTATAAAATAAGGATAGCTGTCTCTACTTCACAAAGCTATTGAGAGCATTAAATAAGAAATAGATGTAAGCCAGGTAGCATAGTACCTAACGCATATTTGGCATTTAAGAATCATGATTGTAGGTGTTCACAACCACCCTTGCTCTCTAACCCCAGCTCCAGCCCAAGGAGAAGGGAGGTAAGTAAAGAGGTCTCTCTACCATGGCTCCTATAAAGCAGGCTACCCACAAATCCACCAGTCGTAAAGCACCAAGGAAACAACTGGCTACCGAAGCCCCTCACAAGAGTGGGGCCTCTGCTGGAGGAGTAAAGAAACCTCATTGTTAAAGGCCTGGTACTGTGGCACTTTGTGAAATTAGATGCCATCAGAAGTCCATTGAACTAATTTCCAAACTTACCTTCCAGTGTCTGGTATGAGAAATTGCTCAGGACTTCAAAACAGATCTGTGCTTCCAGAGTGTAGCAATTGGTGCTTTGCAGGAGGCAAGTGAGGCCTATCGGGTTGGCCTTTTTGAAGACACCAACCTGTATGCTATCCATGCCAAACATGTAACAGTTATGCCAAAAGACATCCAGCTAACATGCCTCAGGCACAGAGAACATGCTTAAGAACTCACTAGGATGGGAAACATTTCATTCTTTTTAAAAAAAAAAATTTTTTTTTTCTCTCCTTCCTGTTATTGGTAGTTCTGAACATTAAGTATTTTTTCGCCATGGGGTTAAAAGGTACCTAAGTATATGATTGCAAGTGGGAAATAGGGACCAGGAATCAGGTATTGGCAGTTTTTCCATTTTCATTTGTGTGTGAATTTTTTTTACTATAAATGTGGGAACATAAAGCATTAATGCAAGTCAAAACGTTTCAGTAAACAAGTTTCAGCAGTTCAACTTTATAACAATATAAATAAACCCATTAAATTTTTTCTGGACAATGCCAGCATTTGGATTTTTTAAAAACAAGTAAAGTTCTTATTGTTGGCAACTAAATGATATTTGTAGCATTTTTATCATACAGTAGATTCTATCCTTTCAGTATACTTTTCTGAGTTGTTTCACATGCAAGTACATGTTTTTAATGTTGTCTCTCTGCTGTGCTATTCCTGTAAGTTTGCTATTAAAATACATTAAACTGTTTTTTAAAAGAAACATGATTGTGTTCTTTTTATTTTTTTGGGTCCTATTTGTAATTAACTTAAGCCACCCTCTGCCACAAACTCATTCATTCATTGCCCTCTTAAGTGCCTGACCGTCCCAGGCAGTGACCTGGAAATTGGGGCTTCAAAGACAAAGAAGACATAATCCCTGTTTCTGCAGCCAAGCAAGATGTAGTCAGCTGTCACAAGGACTGTGAAAAAAGTTTAAATAGGTATAATGAGGGCACAGAGGAGTGAGTGAGTGGTCAATTCCATGTCAAAGGATCCAGACTTTACAAAGGAGATGATGCACTTAAGCAAGCACTTAACTTTTTTTTTTTTTTTATTAAATCTTTATTGTTCAGATTATTACATTTGTTCCTCTTTTTTTTCCCCCCATAACTTCCCTCCTCCCAGTTCCCACCCCACCCTCCGCCCTCACTCCCCACCCACTGTCCTCTTCCATAGGTGCACGATTTTTGTCCAGTCTCTTCCCGCATCTCCCACACCCCTTTCCCCCCCAAGAATAGTCAGTCCATTCTCTTTCTATGTCCCTGATTCTATTATAATCACCAGTTCATTCTGTTCATCAGATTATTTATTCACTTGATTTTTAGATTCACTTGTTGATAGATGTGTATTTGTTGTTCATAATTTGTATCTTTACATTTTCTCTTCTTCCTCTTCTTAAAAGATACCTTTCAGCATTTCATATAATACTGGTTTGGTGGTGATGAACTCCTTTAGCTTTTCCTTATCTGTGAAGCTCTTTATCTGACCTTCAATTCTGAATGATAGCTTTGCTGGGTAAAGTAGTCTTGGTTGTAGGTTCTTGGTATTCATCACTTTGAATATTTGTTGCCACTCCCTTCTGGCCTGCAAAGTTTCTGTTGAGAAATCAGCTGACAGTCGTATGGGTATTCCCTTGTAGGTAACTGAGTTTCTTTCTCTTGCTGCTTTTAAGATTCTCTCTTTGTCTTTTGCTCTTGGCATTTTAATTATGATGTCTTGGTGTGGTCCTCTTTGGATTCCTTTTGTTTGGGGTTCTCTGCGCTTCCTGGACTTGTAAGTCTATTTCTTTCACCAGGTGGGGGAAGTTTTCTGTCATTATTTCTTCAAATAAGTTTTCAATAACTTGGTCTCTCTCATCTCTGGCACCCCTATAATTCTGATGTTGGTACGCTTGAAGCTGTCCCAGAGGCTCCTTATACTATCTTCATATTTTCGGATTCTTTTTTCATTTTGCTTTTCCGGTTGGCTGTTTTTTGCTTCTTCGTATTTCAAATTTTTGACTTGATTCTTGCGCTCCTCTGGTCTGCTGTTGGGAGTCTGTATAATATTTTTTATTTCAAGCAGTGTATGCTTAATTTCTAGTTGGTTCTTTATCACAACATCGAGGGTCTCATTAGATTGCTTATAGATCTCATTAAGTTTATCAGCAGTTTCTAGAAAATTATTAAAAGACCTTAAAAGTGCGGTTCTGAACTCTGTATCCTCCATTGACAATTTTTTCCTGTTTCTTTGTCTCTGCATTTTTTATGCTTTCTTGGTGCACCCCCTAGTGATCTTTGTGCGCAGTCTTGTTGTAGTTAAGCCTTGATTGTTGTCGGTATTACTGGAGGGGATTTGACCTCCAGGCCAACAGGCTGTGAGAATCAGCTTTGTCTGCAGTGGGAAAACTTCTGTCCTCTGGGGAGGTGCTAATCTAGCCTTTGCCTGAGGCTACCCGGCAAATGCCTCTGTGCAGGGCTTGGGCAGGGCAGATCGCATGGGATCAAACAGGGCGGAGGGAGGGAGCAGTTATGGCTGCTCTCAGTCCCGTCCCCAGAGGCTCTGCCTCTCAGAGTCCCAGCAACTGCTGCAAAACTTGGAGAGAAAGCTGCCCTCGAGTTCTGACCGATGCCAGACAGTCCCGCTTCTCCCTTGAGTCTGGGTCCCTAGAGACTCGCCCGGAACTGGAGCTCAGAGCCTGAGACTCCCTCCCGATTGAAAACGACAACCGCACCCTCAGCCGCCAGCCTGCTCTGCGCGCACCTTCGCCGCACCTTTGTATTTTCCACACTGCGCCTCCTCTGAGTCTCAGTATGCTGTTCTCTTTCCTTCTAGTTGAAGAATTTCCCCTCAGCCAGCCTTCCTGTGGTTCTGGTTGATGTCCGTTCCGTCTTTTAGTTGTATTTTTGAAGTGGTTGTGCGAGGCAGCAATCTCCAGTGTTTACCTATGCCGCCATCTTGGTTCTCCTCCAAGCACTTAACTTTTTGATGCTTTAATTTTCTCATCCATGAAATGTCCCTTTCAGGTTTCCTAAAGCTCTAAAATTCTGAAGCTGAGATTTCTTGTACACTCCAGGAAAATGAGCAGTTCTTCCACCCACAGATCTAAAGGCTGATTAGATTGATGATTCACATTCAGAATTGAAGGCTAACCAGTTAACAGGTTTGTTCAGCAAGGATCTTCTGTATCTAGGACACTCTGGTGGTTTGATAAAGGACATACATTTCCTAAAAGTGTTAATTCATTTCTTCCCAAGAGTTTACAATCCTTTTGGAAAGTGACCACACCTCATACTAGTAAATAGGTTGAGAACTATTCCCAACAATACATCAAGAAGAACAGAATGCTGTAATGCAGATTTTAAGAATGGATGCATAGGGGCTGGGAGAAGGGGGGTTGGGAAGGTGGGGAATGGGAGATATCTGTAATGCTATCAACAATAAAAAAAATATATTTTAAAGAATTAAAAATTTAAATTAAAAAAAAAGAATGGATGCAGCTTTCTACTTGGCTATTGTCTATGGGCAGAGAATTATAGGCAGCCATAGGACCTAGCCAAAATAGCAAGACTCCAAAGTCCTACTTTCACAAGAATTGATAGCAGTGGGTTGCCACATGGTTTAACCGATGAGCTCAGAAGACCCACAAATACAAGTCTCAAACAGCAAAAGCACACTGTATTTCCCTGTGCTCTGCATCTGGATCTGTCCAGCCAGTAGTAAAATACCCACTGTCCAGTAACAACCAAAATGTGACTGGCAGGGGATTCAGCCTAGAAGAGTTAAGGGTAGTTGTGAGAGAATAGCATGGATTTTTGCATCATTATGCAAGCCTACAAAGTCCCTGCAAGTCCATGTGCAGGGGCTAAGAGAGTACAGCTCCAAAACACAAGAGGAGAGATGTCCGAAGAGAGGCAGTTCTACTGAGGAACCCCCACAGAATGAGAAAGCCAAAGTAATCATAAAAAAGGAAGAATTTTAATGCATTTGCCAGTCTTATGACCCATGCCAATGCATGGCTCCTCAGTGTCCAAATAAAAAGAGCAAAGGAAGCTAAGAACAGATATGGAAAGGAATGGGGAGGGGTGGGGAGAGGCAGAAATATAACACTTTACCAAAGAAGATGTATAAATAAGTACACGAATCGATGCTCCATTACTATGATTAGGGAAAAGCAAATTAAAACCAAGATGAGAGTCAACCATACACCCATTGGAATGGCTAAAATAAAGAAGAAAGATAATACCAAATGTAGGTGACATATGGTGCAACCAGAAATCTTATACACTGCTGGTGGGAATGTAAAAATGGTACAACCACTTTGGAAAGCAGTTTGGCAATTTCTTCAAAAGTTATGCTTACCATATGAACCAACCATTCCACTCCTAGGTAACATGAAGGGTTTGGCTGGACAAAGGCAGGTACACAGATATTCATAGCAGCTTTATTTGTAATAGCTAAATGGCCCAAATGTCCATCAGCAGATGACTTGATAAACAAATTTTGGAATACTAAAGCAATAAGAAGAAATGAACTCTCAATAACATGCTACAACTCTGGTGAATCTCAAAATAATTACGTTGAGTGAAAGAAGCCAGACAGGATATACTATATGATACTATTTATATAAAATTCTAGAAAATGCAGACTTATCTAAGGGGACATCAGATCAATGGTTTCCTGGAGATAGAAGTAGAGTGGGAAGAGGCAGGAGAGAGAAATTACAAAGTAGCACAAGAGAACTTTTGGGATTGATCCATTTGTTCATAATCTTGATTGTGGTGATGTATACATATGCCGTTTAGGCCTATCTGCTTTTTTTTAAAAAAAGTAAAGGAATGCTTATTTCTGCCGGAAGTGGCCAAGTAGGTGAAAGTCGAAGGGGATGCAGGCCTGGTGGTTTAGCTAAGAGGGCACTGCCTTCACCCACAGGTGAGGGTGTGGCTGCAGGAATGGAGAATCAAACTGCAGAACAGGGAGTGGCTATTACTGTGATTGGTTGGATGTGGGAAGTGAATAAAGGAGAAAAGTCATAAATCATTTTTAATGAGCCCCAGGAAAGGGCACCCTTGACAGCAATTGAAGACTAGTCGGGATGTGGTGTCACTTTTTAACACTAGTGGTGATGCCTCTGAGATAACTAGATTTGGACAAATGAGTCCTGGGAGACTGAAGGCAGAGCCTTATACTTTGTCCTTCCAGACTATAAAACCATAAAATTAACTAAGCTTCTTAGGGAAATAAGGAAGAAGAGGATCAGGACTCCAGCAAGATCAGACCAGAGTTGGAAAGTGAGAAGAGAAAGAGAAAACACAAGGGCAAGAAAGATAACCCAGTAATATTTATTGAGCACTGCCTCCTGGGCACCAACCTAATTTCCTAATGAGGTGTTTTGGTGGGAGGTAAAAGTTCACTAAAGGCTACTGAAACACAAAACGGAGTATTTGCTCTTAGAGTAACTGAGTCTTCCCAGAATCCTATGACAGGAAGAATAGCCAGCTCCAGGAAGGGAATGAAACCAGAAAAGAAAAAAAGAAAAAACACCTTTTCACATACTCAGAACTTTATCTATTTTTTAATTGATTTTTATTTTGTTTTAAATGTTTTTTATTCATACATGTATATTGTTGTTCATCCTCATCCGAAGATTTTTTCCATTGATTTTTAGAGAGAGTGGAAGGGAGGGAGAGAGTTACAGAGAGAGAAACATTGATGTGAGAGAGCCACAACAATTGGTTGCCCCCCACCCCCACCCCACCCCGCACACACCCTGACTGGGGCTGGGGTTCAAGCCTGTAACCGATGTACATGCCCTTGACCAGAATTGAACCCTAGACTCTTCAGTCCTCAGGCCGATGCTCTATCCACTGAGCCAAACCAGCTAGGGCTCTCCATTTATCTTTGCTCCTTTGTATGCATTTCTATTTCTTTCTTTCCCTCCATTCCCCACCTCTCTCCTCTTCTCTTTCCAAAATTGACTTTCTGTGCACTTGTCCATAGGGCCCAGTGCTCCCAAACTTTGAATTTTCTTCTTTTGGTAGACCAGCCAAACTGAAATTGAAGCTATTTGTCTTAATTCCAGATTCCTGAGAAGGAGAGTCTAATTGACCCTGGTGTCTACTCCTGGAGAAATGAGCTGTTGTTAGTGGGACAGAATGACGTAGATGAACCATGACTGTGAGGCACCAATTCCTATGGGCTGGGAGCAGTTTCCAGAGAGACAATCCAATAAAGTTTCCACTACAACCATTTACATTTGCTCTTCACGTCCCCTCCCTGAGATATATTCTCATGCCCTCCATTCGGATAAGAAAACTCAGAGGGAAGTTAATACATCAAGTTCACACAATGAGTGGCAGAGCCAGTGCTCACTCCCAGGTGCTATATAGCTCCAAAGCTTCTGTTATTTCCTCTCTATCACTCTGCTGATTTTTCCAGCAGAGCACAGCAGCTTTCCCTTTACCAATATGGGATTTGTAAAGTTACTCCTTTTTAAAGACAAGTAACATAATTTTATTAGACACTGTATTAGAGATGGCTGGTTTAATAGAAAGAGGAGTTAGGATGTCTAGTAGTTATTGAGGGCTTCTAGATATTGTGAATTAGCTCATTTAGTGCTCACAACTACCCTATGAAGAGAAGTAGCCCTGTTATTCTACAGGTGAGGAAACTGAGGTACAGGGAGGTTGAATAACTTGTGTCAGCTCAAAGAGCTAGTAAGAGGCAGACCCCAGGGTCTGACTCTGGAGAATAAACTGCTAGCCTGGCCACTGTCCTGCTGCCAGTCCTGTGGAGCCGAGGAGCAGAGCCCTCTGAAGGACCTGCTCTTGTTCTTACAGGGCACCCACATCTCTGATCTCTTGGCCTAATGACTTGGCACATTCTGGACTCTCTCCTAAAGCTCTTTCCCTCTCATTACAGATTCTGGTGGAGGAGGAGCACCTGCATTCTCTCTTCAGCCCTGTGCGCCAGGAGGTCTTTGTCACCATCACTGACCTCAGGTGACACCCACATGCCCTCTACACATGCATCCTGGTTCTTCATTCAGGGCCAATAGCAAAGCCAACTGACATGTTCCATATTTTTAACTTCTCAAAACTACTTAGAGAAGTGGAAACCAAATCCGTGTTTTGTGTAAGAACTTTGATTTCACGTATGCTACCATTTGCATTTGAAAGACCTTATTGGAACCTCCTTTGAGTTCGGTTTTGTCCCAAGAATAATCGATGGAAGGTTACTACCATGACTGTTTCATGACAGAGTTCCACAGTTCAAGAGATTTGGAAGGGCTGTCTTCTTGGAAGTTCATACTGCACACTAACTGATTAAAGGTCCCGAAAAGTCCCATAGTTTAAAAAGTTTTTTAACTTGATTTAACTTGCCATTCCCCAAACTAACAAACCCTTGATAGAGCAGTACACTCTCCTTGGCAGAACACACTTTGAAAAATCGTGCTCTACTATATTAGACTGTAGCAGGTTTCTCTTCCATGGTTGAACTGAAGGAAAAGCCTCGAAGGATGTCACTCCAGTGACCTCCGGGGCAGGCAGGGAGGGTAAGGGGAGAAGGATGGAGGCTCTGAGCCTGAAACTCTTTCTCTAACCTTTTGTAAGATGTATCTAAACAGACTGACAAGCAAGCCATTGATCTCTTTCATCAGAACGTTATACCGATCAGTCTATTCTTTCCTTTGGGTTACTTTGATCTCTGCTTATCAATGTCAAGTCACACCCTTCCCCATTTGCTATTCCCAAGTTGTCTTTTTCTAGTTACCAAGATGTCCATTTGCTGTTTGGCTCTGAAGATCGACTTGACTTGTTTAGCCTTATCACCAAAAGTATAATCACTCTTCCCTCTGAAAAGACCCTTACCCAGCTGCAGCAAATCAAACCAAGTGGGTCCTGCAAATCAGAGGTAACTCACACTTTGCTTTAATAATTTGGAGAGTGCATTTGATATTTTTGGAACTAGCCAAAAACCATTTAAGCCAAGTCTGGCAAATAGAATAGGTGGTGAAATAGCTTTTTCTCTTATTATTTTGTCTTCTTTTCCCTTGCTTTTGGCTTTAAAATAAGGTGGAGCGTTCATATACTTAGCAGATATGTAGGGTTACCATGTGCTAAGCATCATGAGAGGCAGCAGAAATAGAGCAGTACACTCTCTGATCCAGGGAGCTTCTGCCCTAGTGCAGAGATACAATTCGCCAGTAAATACAGTATCAGGTGGTAGTGAGTGCTGTGAAAAATTAAAACGGGGAAAGAAGAGGATAAACAGTACTGTGGGTGGGAGGCACGGGGGCTTTCTACACAGGGTGGTCAGGGAAAGCTCCCTGTGACGGTTGAAGAGAGTGTGGATATCTCTGGAGGAGAAGCTTTCAGGCAGAGCCAGGAGGAAGTACAAAGGCCTTGATTTTCCTGCCACTAGTAAACTGGTTGGGAAAGCAATTGCTAAAGGCAACTTTATTCCCCCTTGTTTCAAGATGCCAGAAAGAGTCACAAGTCAAACTCTAAAAGTACTTTGATGCCCCTAAGCAATTCCCCAAATGTAGTTGGAATCAGTTAACTATCTTCCCACTAATGTTGCGATGTCCATGTAATGTGAATATGTAAAACTGCCTCCCGACACTTTTACACTGGGTCTGCAATGTTAAGTAAAGTTTCAAGATAATGAGGAGAGCCTTAAAAGTGTGCAGTGCTGGGGAACTCGCATGGATGGCATCACTTATCCCTGTGCCTTTTCAGTGTCTCTACAGGCAGACGTTTCAGGTATTCTCTGAGATGCTCCAGAGTTTGGTGGTAAAAGACCCACATTTGGAAAATTTTGACATCATTTTGAAGGTAAACAGGCTATCAGGAGAGAATGGGAAAGTTAATAGTTATATTAAAAGGTAAAAGTGGGAGAAAATGTGGCTGGATTAAGTTTTAAGAGATAGCATAATAGTTAAGAGTATTCACTATCCATTTTGAGTCAGACTTGAGTTTAAATTCCAACTCTCTGCCATTCATTGGTTATAAATTCAGCAAGGAATGTGATTTTTCAAAGTCTCATTTTTTTCACCTTTACATGAGACAATAATTACTGTATTAAATAAATGGCTTTCAGTTTAAGTGGTTGCTGTATTCCTTAAATTATTATTGCTTACTACCACAGAAGGGTTTCAGTCAGTGACCAGAGACTAGAGTCAGCCTCATGAATGAGCCAGGTGAGACTTAAATGTTATTAATGCCTACCTGCTCTCACCTGTACCGGTCCCAGCAGATGCCATTCCATCATTAGAAATTTATTCATTGGAGTGCATTCACTGCATTCAAAGATCTCGCTCTCTTGGCCCTTTTCAAGATGTAGCTATCCCAGAAAGGGATAGCCCTTTAAACTATTATTAATCATTTGTGCCTAAGTGCATTGCCACAATCAACTTAACATTATTTCTCATTTGTCTTATTTTAGTACATCAACTGTGCAGCCAGATTGGCTTTCTTTCCTTTATCCAGTTGTGCCTTAAACTTTCCTGCCTTGGCAACTTAATTCCAGCCATTTCTTCTTTATGAAGCTCCTACTCATGGACATTATATTTTCCATGAATCCGTCCCTGACTGTTCTAGGCAGATACAATTTCCCCATCTTTAGAGTTCTTTAATAGCATGTCATTAATTTCCTGTCTTTCCAAAGCAGGTTTCAGAAAGCTGAAAAAATACAGAAGAATAGGATAAATAATTGAAGAAAGTGGGATGAAGGGAAAATAAGTCTAGGAAATAAGCTCCTAAGGAAGCTGGACCACCTGATCCCCTAGGTCTTTGTGCCTCGTTTGTCATCCGCCATTTTTATTTCCAAAACAAGTTTATAATTTAGGAAAATATTTTCAGACGTAGTAGTGACATGTGGAACTTCTCTCCAAAAAACAGAATAAAGGTGTTATCCCAGATCTTCCCAATAAATCATTTAGGCTTCCTTCATTTTTCATAGCACATGGATCCATGGTTACAATCAATTAAAGACCATGAGCGGGAAAGAGCTACAGCTAGCATTGCTCAAGTTCTAAAGTGCTTATGCATGCATCTCAGCTTGAAGGTAAGCTGCTCTTCAGTTGCAGAGGAGGAAGGATCCAAAGCCATCCTATTACTACCTATTTCCCCTCCTATTTATGACTCCCAGACTTATGACTCCTCGGTGCTCATGCATTATTCATATATCTACCCCTCTCCTAAAATTCAAGCACTTTGAGGCCAGGTACTGTGTTTATTAATCTTGTATCCTCGTTGCTTAGCACAATATAGTAAATGTTTTTGAATGAGTAAATAAATGTAATCTAAAAATATCTGAGGGCCCATATTAATAGCCACTGTTGACATTTTTTTAAATTCCTTCTGAGTATGTTTTGTGCATGAGTGTGTTGGGATGGGGGCTTCTACTTCAGTTCCTTCCAGTTTGTTCTCTATATGTAGCCAGAGTAATCTTCTTAAAACCCACATCACTTCTTTGATCCAATAATTTCCAACTATTTTTAGAATACAAGGTCTTGTATGATATAGTGCCTGCCTGCCCACCTGTACTCCTTGACTTACTCCAGCCACATTGACATCCCTTACATTATTGAAGCTCTTCCTGTTTCATGGACTTTGCACTTACTATGTCCTCTGCTTGGAATGACCTTCCCTAACTCTTCACATAGCTAACTTCTCCTCAATCTTCAATGCTCAGTTTAAATGTTTCCACCTCAAAAAGGCCTTTGCTTACAAATAGATCTACCCTTGCTCTCTATCTCATAGCTCTCTTTCCTTCCTATGACATCTTAGAATCAAAGGTTATCTTGTTTGATTATTTTTATTGGTCCAATAAAAATGGATTTATGGTCCATTTTCCTCTAGAATGTAAATTTCATCAGTGATTATGTTTTCTTGTTTACCACAGCATCCCCAGTGCTTAGCACAGAACATGCTACATGTAGATGCTCAATTAAATATGTACTGAATAAATGTAGGTCAGCTCAGATTCCTTCTCTGCTCAGAACCCTCCAATGGCTTCCCAGCTCATACAGAATAAAATCCTTACAATATTCTCTAAGTCAGCGGTTCTCAACCTGTGGGTTGCGACCCCTTTGGCGGTCGAACGGTCCTTTCACAGTGTTCACCTAAGACCATCCTGCATCTCAGATATTTACATTACGATTCATAACATTACAGTTATGAAGTAGCAACGAAAATAATTTTATGGTTGGGTCACAACATGAGGAACTGTATTTAAAGGGCCAGAAGGTTGAGAACCACTGCTCTAAGTTGTTATGTGATCTGGGCCCATCTTCATCTACCTCCCATTTCTTTTGTTTCTCATTTACTCTGCTCCAGCCAACCTCACCTACTTGCTCCTCAGAAACACCACATACTGTCCCTTCTCTTTGCACTTGTTATTCTCTCCATCTGGAATGTCTTTCCCTCATATTTCTACATGGTGCAGTTCCTCATTTTAACATTGGTGAGATCGTCCCTGACCATTCTAAAATAGCAATTCCTATTCTTATCCTCTACATTTTTCATCATGGTATATATGACTATTGGATACATATACATTTACTTCATTTTTTCCTTTATATTCCCCCGGTTAGAATATCATCTCCATGAGTAGGGATGTTATCTGTTGTTCACTGTCTATATCCCCAGTGCCAATCATAGTGCCTTAGCCATAAGTGCCATAGTCATAACCAGTTCCTGGCTTATAACTGACACATAGTATTTGTTGATTGAATGAATGGATGAAAGCTATACCAGTGAATGAAAGATATTATACAGTTTTGTGTATGTGTTGCTGTGTTGACTGTAAATAAGTTGTAGAGGCTACTGTTCACAATATCCCAGTGTATTTTTCTGAAGAGCCACCAAAGAAATTTCTTTCTGACTCAGTCCTAGAAACAGTTGTGTTTTCTCTCCATGGCTATTTGCTTCTTGTCTTATGGGCAATTTGAATTATATTATGTGGGACATTGCATTAGTCCTGAGAAAATTCAGCGCTGAGCTCCGGTGCATAGCTCCATGGCCTATCTCAAGCAAATGATGACTAGAATTCTGCATACTAACCAAATTCTTAACTTCATTTATCTTTTCTGCATTCATTTTTTAAATTTATCCCACTTTCTTCACTATTTATTTTAAATTACATTTCTTTTGCTGTTATGGCTTTTGCCTGCTACTTTTTTTTTTTCATAATAAAGCAAACTATCAATAAATAAATTTTAAAGTAGTATTAAATGGTATACCTCAACTTTGTATCCAACTTTTTCACTTATTAGACTAGCAACACCTTATTATAAATTCCTAGGATACTTAATTTCTAATTATTATATTCAGAGTGGCTAAACAATAGTTCTCTTTACTATTGGATAGTTTTTTTCAATGTGGGGCCTTTAAAAACAGTGCTAGAATGAACATCTTTACGTATAAACTTTTTGAAATTCCAGATTGCTTACTTAGTTTAGAAGTTACCACATTTACTATCATTTGCTGGACATATTGTATCCATACATGTTAAATGTTAACTTTCAAGAGACCCAAGGGCTGAATGCAACTCTTGCACTTCTCTTGAATAGGTGGTGGAAGTAGAATTACTTCTCAACAACTTAAACCTAAGGCACTAAATACACCTGTATTCCAATGGCATTTTTCTTTTCTCTCAACTAGCTTCCACTGCGATTCCAAAGACTTGGACACCTAGTGGCTCTAATGGTTCTACTGTGTGGAGACCCACTGAAAGAGGTGGCTGAGAAGGCTGCAGAGGGCACGCACTATCTGCTGCACATCACCTTGCGGCTGAAGTGTAAGGCACCGCTGAAAGCAGCCGAGCCCTACATAAGTTCTCTAGCACAACACAAGCTCCAGTCCTCCCGCACCCTCACTCCCCACATCCTAGAAAGCCTTTTTTACAGTGGTTTACAATGAGAAAGGTTCATAGTCCATAGGATGAGATGGAGCAACACTGACTTAATAATTAGAATCACAACACTGGGTCAGACCCACAGTGTCAGTCATATACATGGCCATGGAGTTAAGAGTATCTAAACACGTAACACTCTGGACACGCTGGAGTGATTAGTTTGGGCAGAAGTGGAAGAGGCTCTTGCCATCATTTGGGCCTTCGTTCATTTATTTATCTCATAAATGTTTACTGAGTACTTACTTGGGATACAATAGTAACCAGAATATAAGCCATCCGGTCCTTATATGACATAGTCACAGGGGTGGGCAAACTTTTTGACTCGAGGGCCACAATGGGTTCTTAAACTGGACCGGAGGGCCGGAACAAAAGCATGGATGGAGTGTTTGTGTGAACTAATATAAATTCAAAGTAAACATCATTACATAAAAAGGTACGGTCTTTTTTTTTTTTTTTTTAGTTTTATTCATTTCAAACGGGCCGGATCCGGCCCACAGGCCGTAGTTTGCCCACGGCTGGTCTAGAGTGTGAGTCAGACAATCAAAGAATCAACAAATAACTATTATTGTAAATAAAGATAACTGCTGTGAAGGGAAACTACAGGGGCTATGAGTAAGAATTAAATCTAGTGTGGGATTCAAAAAAGTCTCTGAAGATAATCTGAAAAATAAAGAATATTAGCAAGGAGGTATGATGACCTCCATGCTTCCCAAAGTAATAATCTAATCTCTGGGCAGCTCCAAGTATGAGGACAGTTTACCAAGACATACAATTAAGGAACTACAACTTATTATTCATTCAATAAGTATTTATGAAGCATTTATTGTTTTTAAGGGGAGCACTGGTGAACAAGACAGACAAAGTCCCTTCCCCTAGAAGCTTATTTTCTAGTTGGAGAGACAGTATCCTCAACCAAGGGCTCAAAGACTTCCCATAGATAAGTTTCTAGGGAACATGAGAAAAACAGGGCACCACGAGGGAGTACTGGCAGACTCAACAATCAGCAAAACCATACACATAAAAAATTCTGATATCAGAATTATCAGACACAGTAGAAAATTGTGCAACTTTTTTGTGGGGACCTGAGTTTCATCGGGAGATCCCTCAAAAGTCTTGTCTTGATTGTACTCCTAACTCACTCAAAAGCTCTGCTCTTACAAAAAGCTCTTCTTTTTCTTTCAGCCCTTCTTGTATATTATCCTATAACAGAGGGGAAACAAATTAGCCTTCAGATTTACACACACTCCTTCCCCAGGCATTTTTATTCAAGTGAAAAAGACAGAAGAGTGACATCTTGGGATTCACTTCAACCTGGAAATCAACCAGACTTGCAAAATCAGAAGAAAGAAATAATCCAGAAAGTATAATATTTCGTATTTTCTTCTCAGATATCACTGAGGACAAGAAAAATCGCCCAATCTTGAGAGGAGCAATGAAAAACTGTCAAGAACTCCTAGAATTCTACAGTATTAAGCAGTTCTACACGTGTCCCTTCAAAATTGCCAAGGTAATGGCAAAAATTAAGACAAACATCTTGAAGTGTTGGAGAGGATGAGAAACAATCAGAAGTCTCGTACATTTGTTCACGGGAATGTAAAATGGTAAAAATACTTTGGGAAAAGTTCTGGCAATGTATTATATGGGGCCAATGTCACTGGATAGCTCTTCAGACATGCTCTGCTCCCACTAATTGTCCCCCTAACACTAGCCAGCCTCTTGCATGTATAAAACCTTGTTACAAAAAGGAGCTGTAAGAGAATGTAGTTGAGCCAAAAAGCCATACACTTTTTAGTTAATGTATTTATTCATTATATTTAAGCATCTACTAGGTACCAGGCACTATGTTAGGGAATATGAGGGAAAAGAAAACCTACAGATCTTGTTCATGTAGGGTCAAAGATATCAGGTAATTTTAATTCTCTGCATCAGTTTCCTCATCTGTACAAGGGGGATCTGTAAAAATTAGGATCACTCAAATGCTGTAAGGGTTAAATGAGATGCTTGTATGGAAAATGCCTTGCTTAGTGCCTGTCACATAGTAAGTGCCTAATCAGTTATACCTATTAAAATCAAGGGAAGGACTTTATACACTGGCAAGTGCAATGAGAAGCAGAATGACACATTCTTTTAATACATTGTCTCCAGACAAGGTATTTTAGCGATGCCTCAGACTCTGTCAGCCATACTAGTTTAGCACTAGGGCCTTTCCTTTAATTCTGTTCCTATAAAAGTGGGACTCTTTCTACGGATCTCAGTAATAAACCTTCTTACTAAAAGTCAGAGCTATAAAAGGCCATGCACAGACCCAGCAGTGGACATTTGGGTTACTTCCAGCTTTTCACTTTTATAAGCAAAATTGAAGTAAGCAGCATTGTACATACTAGTATTTAAACTCTTCTCTGATTGTTAACTTATAATTGATTCCTTGTTCAGGGCTCTGTCATACCATGTAACTTGGAAGTTCATTTTTCTTAAATCATTTCAGATCTTCGAAGTTTTTCTCGATTCAAATGAGCTCTGCCAGTTTGTACTGACTATATTGGATGGCCTAAAAAATCTGGAACATTCCTGTACCCAGCAATTAGCCGGAGAATTGCTGATGTCATTGGTAGAAAATGTGGAGTTCCGATTTGAGAAGGTAAAAAGCTCCATGGCTCTTTCCTGGATTTAAAATATCAGCTAGAGCTCTCCTTCCTGCAGCTGCTGAGATCTCTCCTACTGCTTCTTTTCAGCTGACAACAACTACTGAAGTAGAACAAGGCCAAGCTTTAGTCCATTTGGTCAATGTTGAATATTCATCCTTTCAACAAGTATATCATAAATGACAACTGTGTATGCAGCTAGGGAGGGAACTTTTTTAAAATCTAAGGTGTAATTCATATTTTTCAAAAGAGTATTGTTTTGCTGGAAAGCTATAATTAACACATATGAGAATGGTAACTTCAATTTAGATCCTCATTCAGGTTAATTAATGGTGTTACATTTTTATTTTTTAAAACATATGTTTATTGATTTGAGAGAGGAAGGAAGAGAGAGAGATAGAAACATCAATGATGAGAGAGAATCATTGATTGGTTGCCTCCTGCACGCCTCCTACTGGGGATTGAGCCCACAACCTGGGCATGTGCCCTGCCCAAGAATTGAACCATGATCTCCTGGTTCATAGGTTGACTCTCAGCCACTGAACCATGCTAATCAGGCAGTGATGTCAAATTTTAAAAAATCAAGCCATTGGTGATCCTAGAAGGGGGCCAACTTAGTATAAAGTCAAGAAAGTTTATGTAAATGTATCGAAAACGGAAACATCAAGAAATAACAATGTAATTATATCACTTAGAAATATGGAAGGACATGGGAAGAGATAAAAGTAGTTATCTCTGAATAACAGATCTGGGGGATAGACAAGAGAGAGCCTTGAAATACCACTGGACCTTTAAAATTGTGTGCACTTTGGTAAAAATAAAAAGTAATTCTTAAATTATGAAAACCCATTTTTAAAGCTATTAAAATAGCAAAGATGCAAAAGAACAATATAATGAGAGCACGATGAGATGGACACATATCAGTTGGGTACTTTCAGGTGTTAAAAAATAAACTAAGAAGATTACGCCAAGAGTTTATCATTTCATATAAGAAGTCAAGAAGTAGAGTATATGTTCTAGGATTAGTTTGGTGACTCAACAGTGTTATCAGAGAGACAGGGGCTTTTGCATCTTTCTGCTTTGCCTGTTCATATAGCCAGAGGTACTTGCCACAGTTTCAGACTTTATGACCCAGCAAAGAAAAAATGTTTTCCTTCTGTCCCTTTAATCAGAGGACACTCTTTCCCAGTACCCCCCAGTGGGTTTTCCCTCATGTTTTACTGGCCAGGATGACATCACCTGCCATCCTTAAACCAGTTTCTGGCAGCTGGTGGTGATGACAGCCATTTTATATGAGGTTGTTGAGGACTGCCTCTCAGACACTGACATTTCCACAGAGCCCTGAAGTGATGAGTCTGAGCAGGAAGAGAGGTTCAAGCAGAGAAATGGACCAAAGTCCGATGGCAGGCATGACTCCTCTGTCAATCTCAGAATCAAAATGAAAAAATCCAAGCTTTCTTGCAACACTAAATTTAGTAATTTATCTTATTATAAAATCAATACATAATCATTAAAGAAAAATTAGAAAAATATATAAGCAAAAGCCTGGCTGGCGTGGCTCAGTGGTTGAGCATCAGCTTATGAACCAGGACATTGTGGTTTGATTCCCAGTCAGGGCATTCCCAGCCCAGGTTGTGGGCTCGATACCCAGTGGGGAGCATGCAGGAGGCAGCCGATCAATGATTTTCTCTCATCATTGATGTTTCTATCTCTCGTTCCCTCTCCTTTCCTCTCTGAAATCAATAAAAAAATATATGTAAGCAAAAAATTAGTATCACTCAAAGACACATTACTGACATCTTTGTATATATGGTCTTCCAAAAACTTTTATATGCATATACTTACATACAGATAAGTTTTAAGTAGATTTAATAATAAACTTCAAAAAAAAATAAAGATTCTGTTTTAAAAGTCATCCCAGGACCTTTCAGAAATAACCACAATATTCTCAGTAACTATCAATGTCCCACAGGATTAAGGTCTTAGTCATTTCTTTTTCCTCTTCAGGTACCAGAGATTGTGGGAGTTATCTGTGCCCAGCTATCCATGATCAGTCAGCCTAGTGTCCGCCAACAAGTCATAACTATCGTGAGTTTGCTTATCTCCAGGCCCAAGTACACAGATATAGTGATCAGCTACCTTCTGTATCATCCTGTACCATATGACAGGTAACAGAACCTGATACAACCTCTGGGTGTGTGACACATGGTTGTAGTATTGTAGAACATGGTTGCCCTAAAAAATGTATCCTTATAAGGTGATAAGATATAAACAGATGCCTGCAATATAAGTCAGAATATAATGCTAAACACAAAGAAATAATTCAACAAATCCAGAATAGAGAACATTTACAAAATGGTTGGGCTGAACTCCTCAAAGAAGTTAATGTCACAAAAGAAAAAATGGTGCAGGGAGCACTGTTCTTGAATTTTAAAAAAGGAAAGAGACATAACCAAATGCAATATGTGACTTTGTTTGAATCCTGGATGAAAAGCAAATGCTTAAAATTTTTGAGGAAATTTAAGTAGAGACTCTATGCTAGATTATTAAATAAATTTAATTTTCTGAGGTGTGAAATGATAATATGGTTATACAGAAGAATGTCCTTATTCTTAGGAGATAGATGTTGAAATATTTAGGGATAGATGTCAGAATGTCTGCAATGCACTTAAGAAAGATTTAGCAAAAAATAGATACAGCCCTGACCAGTTTGGCTCAGTGGCTAGAGCATCGGCCTGTGGACTGAAGAGTCCCAGGTTCGATTCCGGTCAAGGGCATGTACCTTGGTTGCGGGCACATCCCCAGTAGTGGATGCGCAGGAGGCAGCTGATGGATGTTTCTCTCTCATGGATGTTTCTAACTCTCTATCCCTCTCCCTTCCTCTCGTTAAAAAAAAAATCAATAAAATATATTAAAAAAAATAGATACACATTTTTTTAAAAAGAATAGAATCAGAGAGAGGAACAAACAAGATGTTTGTTTTGAGGTTGTTGTTTTTTTAGATTAGTGATAAGTGGTTTTCATAGTTGGAGTCCCCCGGGAAGTTCCAGGAGATGCCTTATGGGGAAGGCAGTGAGGCATCAGGAGAGGGCTCCAGGTGCCCCCAACCCCACTCCACTTTACCCAGAGTAGCACCCCTTTTATCTGCTTTATAGTATATTGTGATTCTGGGTAATTATTTAATTTGAAGAAAAGATTTCTCAGCTTTAAACTGTTCATAAAACACTTTCAATGAATGGTTCCACAGAATGTTTTGGTATAGTGCCGATGTTTTTATGAGCTGAACTTACACATTCTGCCACTAAATCAAATACAGGATGACTTTAACTCATCCAAAGGAAAAAATAGTTCATACAGGTTTTTTAAAAAATATTCTGACTTTTATATATTTCTGTAATGTATTTTTAAATCTTTACTACTTGCTTCAGTTTAGCTACACTAGATTCTTATATAAAGCACTTGATTTAGGATAAATATTAACTATATCTAGCTATTTTAAGTGCAGTTTTAGCATTATTTTATTGTTTGTATGTGTTCTAGCTCTTGGGTGACTTTGAGAAAGAACTACTGCTTTAGATAATATGAGAATGTGGATTCTGTTAAAATAAAATGACTTAGGAAACTTCATTCTGATTATGTTTTTGGTCACTTACCTGAAGCCCATTAGTTTGTTTACAGATCGGCGTAATTGTTCTTAGGAGTCTGTGCTGTTAGGCACTGGGGAAATAATGGACAGGACATGGACCCTGCCCTCGAGCAGCACACTGTTTTATAGTAGACATAGATGAATAACAGAGGATGCCAAAGCAAAATAAGAGAGTTCTGTGGAAACCCCTAGGAGGAAACTTAATTAGATGAAGGATTGGTAAAGGATTTCTGAAAGAAGGGATGTCCCTAGCTGAGTTTTTAGTGTAAATTACCATGTAGATGGTAGGAAGGGGGATGGGAAGAGACCATCTAGACAGAAAGTATAGAGAAAATAAATACCAGGAAAGTATGAAACAGTTTAATGAATGCTCATTCCCAAATGATGGGCAAACAAAAACAATGTCACATCTACAGACTCAGTATCACTGAAGTGAGACCTGTTTCTTATTTTTAACAAATTCCCAGATGATTTTTTTTACACTAAACTTTGAGAAGGCTTATAGGCCCATGTGTGTGTGTTCCTAATTCAAATGTATTCCCAGCACACTTAGAGATGTGCAGAACCAAAAGCATTTTGAAACACTTCTTTCAAAATAAATAGCTTTTTCTTTTTAAAAATATGTTTTTATTGATTTTGGAAATAGGAAGGGACAGAAAGAGAAACATCCATGAGAGAGAGAAACTTTGATCGGCTGCCTCCTGCAAGGATCAAGCCTGAAACCTGGGTATGTGCCCTGATTGGGAATCAAACCTTTGACCTTTTGGTGCAGAGACAACGCTCACCAACTGAGCCACACTGGCCAGGGCACAATAAATAGCTTCTTAAGTACTTTATCTACTCCCTCAGGAATTCAGAGAAAAAAATCAAGAGTAAGTAAATATAGGAATTTCTTAGTTTCACCCCAGAATGAATGTTAATATTCTACAATCTGTTTCCCCAGTCAAGAGCCTTTTCAATATCCCACACTGCATCTATCTTCCCTTCAGGAATTCTTTAGAAACTTACTTTGTTTTATTCACAGACTAGAGGCCTGGTGAACGAATTCATGCACAGATGAGGTCCAGCCGGCCTGCTCTGATCAGGGTGATCGATCGGGCCCAGCCGGCTGGGGGGAGGGGCCACGGGTGGTTGGCCAGCTGCCCCCGCCCCCTGGTCAAACTCCAGGTTGAACTTCCCCTCCAGGGGATAATTTGCATATTAGCCTTTTATTATATAGGATTCATATTACCGAAGTAAGGAGCGGAAATGTAGGAATAATCTTTAAGTCTCTCAGTTTTTAGAGTGATTCTGAGCAGGTAGTTGGAAAATCATGCTTTACAAAAACACTGTGTCTAGCACACAAAGATTTTGAGTTAAAACATGAGTAGCTCCCAATCTTCTCATCTTTCCCCATAATGCTCCTCCACAGTGTTTATATAAGTCAGGCCCTACCTTTGAGTCAGTGATAGAAGAGAAGTTACTACATGCTACTTTTAAGAAGAGATACCTTCTAAAGAAGATCAAAGCTTTATTTCAAGGCTTGACCTTAGCCAAAATTTGAAGACCATATACTAGATTGAATAAGTATGTCTTTAAATGCCTTCTGTAAGCTTGGCATTGTGCTAGGCCCTGAGGGATTCATAGAAGCCAGAGGTATTCCCTGCCTCAGAGGGAACAGGTGGACACACCTACAGAGAACTGACAATAGCACATTGAGACTGAGGCAACCTCTGTAACAAACAAATTTTTAAAGTGTTCTGGGCACTCTCATGAGTGACATGGTGATGAAGCAGCAAAGGCTTCATAGAAAAGAGGACTTTGGAGCTGGACCTAGAAGGATGTTGATGGGCAGAGGAGAGTTTTGGAAAGGGCCTTTCAGTTTAAGGAAATGACTTAAGCAAAGATGTAGGGTTTTCAAAGTTCATTGTTTATTTGGTGAAGGTGAATAGTTTGGGTAGCTAGAGCACAAAGTATGTGATAGGGAAGTTATGAGACTGAAAAGGTAAGTTAGGGCCAGTTTGTGAATGTCTTGAAGTCTGTGCTGAAGCAATGGGAACTTTGGTCTATAAAACCTTGGGAATTACTAGTACTGTTATGAAATCAGAGAGTAAGTGTTTTGCTACCCTGAAGAACTAAACAGCAGGAAACCTCTTATAGATTGAATTCTAAACAGACTCTAAACACATTGTGGTCATGATAGGCCTGGAATAAGCCGTTTTCCTGAACCTTCTTACTCTGGTTTCCTAGAAATCTGGCAGAGATGTGGAGAACCCTGAAGGTGGAGGTGCCCAGCACAACAGGGATCCTGTCGAGGCTCCTGAGGAAGCTGCAGACATGCCATAATGAGCCCACCCAGGAGAAGATGGCCTATGTGGCTGTTGCTGTAAGTCATTGAGCTGTGCCCCTCCAACTTCAGCCCACCATGCTGCGCCCCTAGGATGACTGGCCCAACACCCTATCTGGAGAGTGTTCCTTTTGGTTCCTCTCAAAGTTTGCTTCTGTCATCCATTTATAAATCTAAAGTGTCTCTACCAATGGATTGACATGGATGGGGCTGAGGAGAGTGAAGCAATCAGTATGGTTTATAAGTTTTAAACATTCCTTCCCTCAACCTTAAAAGATATATATCATCATCGTTAAAAGTAATACAAACTTGTTAAAATTTTTTTCAAATAATACAGAAGAATATAAATTAGAAAGCAAAGGTCCTCCTTAAGCAGAGGTTTGCAAACCTTTTCTGTAAAGGACCAGATGATAATGTTTAAATAATGGCCATACCATTTCCCTAAAAATGAACTTTTTAGAAGCGTTTATACATAAATGAAGTTTTTGTATATGTATTTGGTATACTTTTTTCCTTTTAAATAGACTTTATTTTTTTTTAAGATATTTTTACTGATTTCAGAGAGGAAGGGAGAGGGAGATAGATATAGAAACATCAATGATGAGAGAGAATCATTGATCAGCTGCCTCCTGCACACTCCACACTGGAGATCGAGCCCACCGCCTGGGCATGTGCCCTGACTGGGAATCGAACCATGACCTACTGATTCATAGGTCAATGCTCAACATTGACACACAGTGTGTCACTGAGACACACTGGCCAACTAGACGTTATTTTTTAAAGAGTTTTAGGTTTACAGCAAAATTGAGCAGAAAATACAGCGTTCCTATGTACTCCCTGTCCAGTGTATGCACAGCCTCCCCCTCTTATCCACATGTACTTTTTACTTTATTTTCTTTCCAACCAGTTTATGGTTCAGCTTTCCCTGACCTAAGGTACCATCACACTTTTTTTTAGCTTCCAAAAATACTTTGATATCTCTAGTCTGCTATTGTCTCCTCTCCTATTCTGGTTCTTGTAGATTTATGCCTTTTTAAAAATCCCTGTAATGCCATTTTAGTGCAATTCTAGGAGTTAGGACAGATAAAGCTATTTAACTATATTAGTCTATAAAATTATTTGTGCATATACATATATATATACTAGAGGCCCGGTGCACAAAAATTTGTGAACTCACGGAGGAGAGGGGGTCCCTCAGCCCGGCCTGTGCCCTCTCACAGTCTGGGACCCCTCGGGAGATAACGACCTGCTGGCTTAGGCCTGCTCCCAGGTGGCAGAGGGCAGGCCCAATCCCTAGGTGCAGCCCCTGGTCGGGCTCAGAGCAGGGCTGATTGGTGAGTGGGGGCGCCGCCCCCTGTCATGCACAGAGCAGGGCGGATCAGGAGGTTGCAATGCCACCCTCAGTCATGCTCAGGGTAGGGCCAATTGGGGGGTTGGGGCACCGTCCCCTGTCACACTCAAGGCAGGGTCGATGGGGAGCTTGTGGCGCCACCCCCTATCACGCACAGAGTAGGGCCAATCAAGGGGTTGGAGCGCTGCCCCTCACTCACAGAGCAGGGCCCATCAGGGGGGTTGGAGCTCTGTACCCTGTCACGCACAGAGCAGGGTCGATCAGGGGGTTGGGGAACTCCCCCCCCCCCCGTCACGCACAGAGCAGGGCCCATCAGGGGGTTGGGGAGCTCCCCCCTGTAACGCACAGAGCAGGGCCCATCAGGGGATTTAGGAGCTCCCCCCTGCCACTCACAGAGTAGGGCCGATAGGGGAGTTGGGGCACCACCCCCTGTCACATACAGAGCAGGGCGGATCAGGGGGTTGGGGCGCCGCACCCTGTCACACTCAGGGCAGGGCCGATGGGGAGGTTATGACTCTACCCTGTCACACACAGAGCAGGGCCCATGGGGGGCAGTTGGGACGCCACCCTCTATCACCCACAGAGCAGGGGGTTGGGGCGCTGCACCCTGTCACACACAGAGCCGCAGGGCAATCAGGGGGTTGGGGAGCTCCCCCCTATCAGGCACAGAGCAGGGCTGATTAGAGGGTTGGGGCGCCTTCCCTTGTCACGAACAGAGCAGGGTGGATAGGGAGGTTGTGGCCACGCCCCCTGTCACACACAGAGCCGCAGGGTGATCAGGCGGTTTGGGCGCTGCCCCCTGTCACGCTGAACCCGGTGCCGGGAGGCCTCGCGGCTCCACTGATCCCAGTGCTGGGAGGCATATTACCCTTTTGCTATATAGGATAGAGGCCGGGTGCATGGGTGGGGGCCGGCTGGTTTGCCCTGAAGGGTGTCCTGGATCAGGGTGGGGTTCCCCGCTGGGGTGCCTGGCCAGTCTGGGTGAGATGCTAAGGGCTGTTTTCAGGCTGGCAGGTGACTGAAGCTCCCAACGCTCCTGTTTTTCTTTTTTTTTATTCTGGGCCAGCTTTAGCTCTGAGGCTTGGCTCCAGCTCTTAGGCCTTGGCTGCTGAAAGCAGGTATCTGGTTTGTTTGGGTTCTATAATCAAAACACTGTTTCAACTCCACCTCTGAGATCCTGGCTGGCTGAAAGCAGGTTTCTGGGGTTTTGTTTAGCTTCTATATTTGTAACAATGTTTCTTTTTCTTTTTTAATTAAATCTTTATTGTTCAGATTATTACATTTGTTCCTCTTTTTTCCCCCCATAACTCCCCTCCTCCCAGTTCCCATCCCACCCTCCGCCCTCACTCCCCACCCACTGTCCTCATCCATAGGTGCACGATTTTTGTCCAGTCTCTTCCCGCATCTCCCACACCCCTTTCCCCCCCAAGAATAGTCAGTCCATTCCCTTTCTATGTCCTTGATTCTATTATGTACACCAGATTATTTATTCACTTGATTCTTAGAATCACTTGTTGATAGATGCATGTTTGTTGATCATAATTTGTATCTTTACCTTTTTCTTCTTCTTCCTCTTCTTAAAGGATACCTTTCAGCATTTCATATAATCCTGGTTTGGTGGTGATGGACTCCTTTAGCTTTTCCTTATCTGTGAAGCTCTTTATCTGACCTTCAGTTCTGAATGATAGCTTTGCTGGGTAAAGTAATCTTGGTTGTAGGTTCTTGGTATTCATCACTTTGAATATTTCTTGCCATTCCCTTCTGGCCTGCAAAGTTTCTGTTGAGAAATCAGCTGACAGTCGTATGGGTATTCCCTTGTAGGTAACTGAGTTTCTTTCTCTTGCTGCTTTTAAGATTCTATCTTTGTCTTTTGCTCTTGGCATTTTAATTATGATGTGTCTTGGTGTGGTCCTCTTTGGATTCCTTTTGTTTGGGGTTCTCTGTGCTTCCTGGACCTGTAAGTCCATTTCTTTCACCAGGTGGGGGAAGTTTTCTGTCATTATTTCTTCAAATAGGTTTTCAATATCTTGCTCTCTCTCTTCTTCTGGCACCCCTATAATTCTGATGTTGGTACGCTTGAAGCTGTCCCAGAGGCTCCTTACACTATCCTCGCATTTTCAGATTTTTTTTCATTTTGCTTTTCTGGTTGGGTGTTTTTTGCTTCTTCGCATTTCAAATCTTTGCCTTGATTCTTGCGCTCCTCTGGTCTGCTGTTGGGAGTCTGTATAGTATTCATTATTTCAGTCCGTGTATGCTTAATTTCTAGTTGGTTCTTTATCATAACATCGAGGGTCTTGAGGATCTCACTACATTTATCGGCGGCTTCTAGACAGTTCTTAAGAGACCTTAAAAGTGTGGTTCTGAACTCAATATCCTCCATTGACAGTTTTGTCCTGTTTCTTTGTCTCCACATTTTTTATGCTTTCTTGGTGCACCCCCTAGTGGTCTTTGTGCGCAGTCTTGTTGTAGTTAAGCCTTGATTGTTGTCGGCAATACCGGGGGTGATTTGACCTCCAGGCTAACTGGCTATGAGAGTCCACTGTATCTGCAGTGGGAGAGCTTCTGTGCTGGATCTCTAGGGCGGTGCTGATCTAGCGTTTGCCTGAGGCTATCCGGCAAATGGCTCTGCGCAGGGCTTGGGCGGGGCGGGTCCCCGGGGATCTACAGGGCGGGTCCCCGGGGATCTACAGCAGCAGTTATGGCTGCTCTCAGTTCCGTCCCTAGGGTCTCTGCCTCATAGAGTCGCAGCAACCGCTGCAAACCTCAGAGAGAAAGCTGCCTTCGAGTTCTGACCGAAGCCAGACAGTCCCGCTTCTTCCGTTTGAGTCTGGGTCCCTAGAGACTCGCCCGGATCTGGAGCTCAGAGTCTGAAACTCCCTCCCGATTGAAAACAACAACCGCGCCCTCCGCCTCCAGCCCGCTCCGCGTGCACTCCGCACCTTAGTATTTCACTTCAGCACTGCGCCTCCTCTGAGTCTGGGTATGATATTCTCTTTCCTCCTAGTTGTAGTATTTCCACTCAGCCAGCCTTCCTGTGGTTCTGGATGATGTCCGTTCCGTCTTTTAGTTGTTTTTTGAAGTGGTTATTCGAGGCAGCAATCTCCGGCGTTAACCTATGCCGCCATCTTGGTTTCTCCTGTAACAATGTTTCAAACTGCAAGCTCAGAGGCCGGCAGCAGCAGGCGGGGAACGTTGGAGTCCTTCGTCACTGAAGCAAGCAAGCCTCATGTTCGCTTCAAGCTGCCTGGCTGCCGGCCGCCATCTTGGCTGGCAGTTAATTTGCATATTGCCCTGATTAGCCAATGGGCAGGGTAGTGGAGGTATGGCTAATTACCATGTTTCTCTTTTATTAGATAGGATATATATGATCATAATACATACTCTTTGATGACCTGCTGTTTTTATTTAACAATATATTACTACTTTCCATATCAATATATGAGGCTCTCTGTTATCTTTTTCATGGTTGAATAGTAATTTATTTTAAATTACTTTTTTTAAATATAGGTAATACATAGTATTGAATCATTTATTTTATTATCAAGTTTCATATTAGTGAATATTTTAATAATTTTTAAACTTTTGCCATTAAAACAGTACTGTACCAGACATAAATTTTGTTATACTGTACATACCAATTATTTAGGGTAAAGTCCATTGAAGGGGAATTTCTAGGTCAAAGGGTGGGATTATTTAAACTTCTGATAATTTTCCCAGATGGTCCTCTAGAATGTTGCCCTCCTACCAGTCATGTATGAGAATGCCCATTTACCCACCCTCTCACTACATTGAGTATTACCAGTCTTTTTATTGTTGCCTACCTGATAGGTTAAAAAGAAACATTTTGTTTTTGTTTTTTAAATTTATCTTTATTGTTAAAGTATTACAGGTGACCCCTATATCCCCCAGTAATCCCCTTCAAAAGGAACATGTTTTAATTATAATTTTGTCATTGGTGAGGTGAAACATTTGTATATATTCTTTTTTAAAATCTTCATCCAAGGATATGCCTTTCATTGATTTTCAGAGAGAAAGGAAGATAGACAGAGAAACATCTATGTGAGAGAGAGAAACACTGATTGGTTGCCTCCTGCACACGCCCCAACTGGGACCAAACCCGCAACCTAGGTATGTGCCCTGACCCGGAATCAAACGCACAGCCTTTTGGCGTGCAACATGATGCTCCAACTGACTGAGCCACCGGACTAGGGCTGTATATGTTTTTTAATTGGTTATTTATAATTCTTCTTTTGTAACTCATCTGCTCATGTCCTATATACCAGTGCATCTCAGTTTTAATATGCACACAAGCCACAGTCATCTAGAGATCTAATTGAAATACAGATTCTGATGCAGAAGGTCTGGGGTAGGGCTTTTTATTCTCCATTTTTAACCAGCTCTCATGTGATGCCAGTGCTACTGCTGTGTGTGGCCCACACTTTGAGTAGCAAGCCTTAACATTTTTTTTCTTACTGATATGTGAGAGCATTTTATATATTAAAGATATCACATTGATGCAAATACTTTCCCAGATTATTATATTCTAACTTTGTTAATCATAAATTTTGCTTTGGCTTTTTATTTGCATGCAAATATGATAATAGTTTCCTTGATAGTTTACTTCTGGGTTTCAGGACTGCCCCTCACTCTTTGACAACTTTTAATGACCACTTTACTCCTATTCCTTTCCCCCCTCACTTTCATGTTCCTGCACTGAGTACCACTACTATTGTGCCTATGAGATAGTAGAACCAGAAAGCATGTTCTGGCACGAGCAGAAGTAAAGCAAGAGTAACGATTAGGGCTAGCATGTTCAGCTCTGCTGTGTGCCTTTTCTACCACAGGCAACAGATGCCCTTTATGAGGTGTTTATGGGAAACGAGCTCCAAGAAGCTATGTTCCAACTCTTCCCTCAGCTTCTCATGACACTGCTCATCCAGATTCACCACAGCATCGACCTCACCATGTCTGAAGTCGCCATCCCACCTGGCCTGTACACAGAACAAGAAATGTCTTCAAAGGTTACTCCTTTGTGGTACTGCCCATTGTGATTTTATTGACCTTAACTAACACTTTAAGCACCTGGCACTGTAGTAGATGCAAGGATGGCCAAGATGTGGTCCCAACTGTGGAAGCGCTTACAGTCTGCTACCTTCATGAGACATCAAGATGAAATGCCCAGGAATTATTCTGACTGTTATTGGTTGTCCTTGGTTTTATTGATGCCAAGATAAATAAGGCTGTCTGGGTCCAGATGCCCTGCAAAATAATGTGTGATATCATGCAAGCCTTTTTTGATAAATCAAGTAGAGACAGAGTTCAGCAAAACAGCCTTAAACCCACCTCCAAAACCATATTGATCCATAATTGAATAATTCCCTATTTCTGCTTTATTGCACAGAGATATTTTTAGTTTCCAATTAGGGTATCCGTAGATTTTTAAAAATATATATTTTATTGATTTTTTTACAGAGCAGAAGGGAGAGGGATAGAGAGTTAGAAACATTGATGAGAGAGAAACATCGATCAGCTGCCTCCTGCACACCCCCTATTGGGGATGTGCCCTCAACCAAGGTACATGCCCTTGACTGGAATCGAACCTGGGACCCTTGAGTCCGCAGGCCAGCGCTCTATCCACTGAGCCAAACCAGTTAGGGCTCAGTAGATATTTTTTAAGTGTTTCTGTGGCACATGGATCTCTTTCAGTGATGTTATATCCAGGATACTAGTTCAATAAGTAATTTTTAAAAGTAATGGGGTAAAAAAAAAAAAGTAATGGAGTAAATTTATAGGGTATAAATAAGTAGTATCTAAATAAAGCTTTTTAAAAAAGCAGTGGGCATCAGCTTAGCATCCCATATAATTTGTTTTATCATAATTTCTTTGAGGGGACCTTTCTAGTTCTTAGAGCATTGCAAGTTTTTTGGGGAATCTAGAAAGTAGAGAATTACAGTCTAGCAGCTATCAATGCCTGCCCTCCTCAGAGAGAGCAGGGTAATTGTGTGCTGTAAGTTCGAGGGGCCTGTTCTATTCACTTGTACTGTTTTTGTTTGATTTAGCTTTGCCATACAGGCTACAAAGACTCTCCTCCTCAGAACATTGTGCTTGCAGGAATTCAACATCATGGAAAAGAATGAAGGATGGACCCTCCTGGCAGAAAAAGATTGCCACCTTCAGGGAGTATCTCTGCTTGCCAAGTAAGTCTTCCTTGACATGCATACATGCTCTAAATCAGCATTGTTTTAAGGTATTCTCCCCCCTTTAGTTACCACAACAACCAAGGTTGGATAACCTTCTCATTATAGGGTGGGCAAATACCCATAATGCCAGGCAAATTTTTCAGAGGTCCTGGCCCTGCCATACCCTCCTGTGCACCTGCAGCTGGGCAAACACTTCTGTGGGGAAAATGCTCTCTATTTAGGAAAATTTCTAAGAGCTGTTCTGTTGGTGTTCTATTTTGCAGTGCATTGCTGAAAAGAAATCACGTCCTTGCACATAAGATCTTGTACTTGTTAGTCCCTCTTCTTAACCGAGGGAATGCTAAACATAAACTCACATCTGCAGGCTTTTTTGTGGAGGTAAGACTCCTTACTTAGAAGCTGGATTCAGGAAGTCTATAAAGCAGCAGGACCTGCCTTCCTAGGCCCTGTCCAACTTAGTGGCAGGCTATGATTCCTTTCAAACTTGGGATAGAAATAGTTTCAGATTCAAGCCTATTGAAATTTTTCTTTCCCCATATTCATCATTCAACATTCCTTATTTACCCCCAGTGTAGGCATCACCCTGTAATATATGTCCTGTATAGTAGAGGTTTTATAGGTAATAGTATTTTAGAGTTGGTGTGAAAGTGGCTCCTCTCATGAAAAAGGGCTCCAAGTTAACTTCTTTCATTGATTTCTGGGTTCTTTCAGCTTCTCCAGAGTCCAGTGGCTAGGAGACTGCCCAGCATATACTCTATTGCCCGCTTGAAAGACTGGCTACATCATGGAAATAATATCTTTAAAATTCTCGCCCTGACGGGACTGTACTACATTATCAGACACCAGAAGATGGTAGGAGGGGCCCCCAGACTACAGATTCACAAGTCACAAATAAAACATACCCCAAAAAGACACACAAGAAACTGATAATAGCTGAGGCTGAAAATTGGGTGGTCTGGGCACATGGTGAGTGGGAGTACATAGCTTTGTACCATTTGAAATGTATACCTAGAAAATATGCAAGTACAGACTATTAAGCATTTAATGAAATTTTTAAAAATAAAACAGCTAAGCCATACATATTCATAATACTTGAAACCTGCAGTTTGTGTACATTTCAAATCATTGTCATCACAACATGGGCAACATTCATGTGTCTTTTTATGCCTTGTACTATATTACCTTATCATCTAGGACAGTGGTTCTCAACCTGTGGGTCGCGACCCCTTTGGGGGTCAAACGACCTTTTCACAAGGGATCGCCTAAGACCATCGGAAAACACATATATAATTACATATTATTTTTGTGATTAATCACTATGCTTTAATTATGTTCAATTTGTAACAATGAAAATATATCCTGCATATCAGATATTTATATTATGATTCATAACAGTAGCAAAATTACAGTTATGAAGTAGCAACAAAAATAATTTTATGGTTGGGGGTCATCACAACATAAGGAACTGTATTAAAGGGTCGCAACATTAGGAAGGTTGAGAACCACTGAGCTAGGACAAGAGTCACTGACATTGATGTTGAAAGCTCATTTTCCACAGGCCTAACTAGATGCTAAGCCAGGTCAGAAGAGAAAATTAACTCCTGAGGCTTCAATTTTATCAGTTTAATTCTATTTTCTTTTATTTCAAATACAGGGATGGGCAAAAATAGGTTTACAGTTTTGAGTACACAAAACACAGTTAATAAAGCTGTTGTAATCATTATAACCTGCATGTCTTTCTCCATGCAAACAACTGTAAACCTACTTTTGCCCATCCCTGTGTATATCTGAAATTCTGGTTGATTGGATATATGAATATTTGTGGCTTATTCTATTTAATTTTTACATGTATGTGTTTTTTAAAATATTTTTTATTGATTTCAGAGAGGGAGAGAGAGATGGAAACATCAGTGATGAGAGAGAATCATTAATGGGCTGCCTCCTACACACCCCTACAGGGGATCGAGCCTGCAACGTGGGCATGTGCCCTTGACCAGAACCGAACCTGGGACCCTTCAGTCCACAGGCCGATACTCTATCCACTGAGCCAAACCAGCTAGGGCATAATTTTTACATGTATGTTTTAAATTTTAAAGCCCTGAGAAGAACCCTTGTCAATTTCTGCTTGAATTCCTCCAGAGAATCTTTTAGCCTCTGTTTGAATACCTTTCATGATGGGAAACTTGCTGTGACCTAAACTAGCCATTCCACTTTCTCTCATTGTTAGGTGAACTGTTCCTTACATTAAGCCCAAGTATATATCACTTGACCTTCACGTGGTCCTATTTCTGCTCTGTGGGGCAGCTCACAACAGCTCTGCTTCCTTCTCTACATGTCAGCACTACCAATGCTGACAGAGGGCAGTCTTGCCTTCTTTATTCTGTATTCTTGAGTAGCCAAAAATTCAATAAGCACTGGGTACTGAGTAAAGGAGGGGAGCCCTACTTTGGTACCAGATGGAGTGCTATCAGGAGAGGTGATGCACTCACTCCCTTTGGGCACACAGAGGGAAGACATCCAGAGCCTGCTGCCGTGCATCTTAGACCTGTTGTGTGAATCTGATGAGAAGATTGTTTTGTTGGCCATCCAGATACTCCTGCTTCTCGTTAGAACAATGGATTTCTCTACCCTGGCTGCTATGATGAGGAAAACGTTCTCCTTATTTGGTGATGTAAGACAATGAGGGATACTTTCCTGGGGGGAAGGTAATTGGTATAACAGCACATAGAAGTTGGGATAATAATAAATACACTCTATTATGTAGTACTTTTTATGTTCAGAGCACTTTCAGATCTCCTCTCATAGGCCCTTCCAGGTAATCCGTAATGTTGCTAGGGTTGGTGTTACTGTTTTTCACATTTAAAAAACCTTGAAACATAAAGACTTGCCAAGTACTCCCCTGCTTCATGGGATGGGGAAGGAGTTTCTAAAAGGAAAGACATTATCTTTCCTTTCAAGTAACAATCAGGACTGGTTCAAGATGGTAGACATATATCCCCATCCCAAGTCATAAAGATTTTTCAAAAGGAAATACATGAACCACAATGAACCACATCCTTGGAAGAGTCAAATATGCAAAGGCTGGGAATTTGAATTTCAGTAAAACAGCTATGGATGTTTACCAGGTGTACCGGTACCGGTTAATAATGCAGATTTTTTCAATAGATGGAGTTACATATATGTTGATATATATGCAATTTGATATGTATGCTGTTTTGTTGTATTGACAGCAAGCTTCAAAACTTCATATGTCAGATTTTCTGAAGGTGTTAACATCATAGATATTTTTATGCTTAAAAATGTCGAATTTGCCCTAACCGGTTTGGCTCAGTGGATAGAGCGTTGGCCTGCAGACTGAAGTGTCCCACATTCAATTCCAGCCAAAGGCATGTACCTTGGTTGCGGGCACATGCCCAGTAGGGGGTGTGCAGGAGGCAGCTGATCGATGTTTCTCTCTCATCAATGTTTCTGACTCTCTATCCCTCTCCCTTCCTCTCTGTAAAAAATCAATAAAATATATTTTTTAAAAATGTTGAATTTCGTGCAAAAAAAAAAGAGCATTTGCGGGAAGTTTTAATTCATTATTTTGAAGAAAAGTGCTGCTGAAAGTTATCGTATACTTTGGGAAGCTTATGGTGAACATACTCCATCCCAAGATACTTGTAAACGCTGGTTTAAACGCTTTAAAAGTGATGATTTCGATGTGAAAGACAAAGAACGTCCAGGTCAACCAAAAAAGTTTGAAGACCAACAATTACAAGCATTATTGGATGAAGATGTATGTCAAACTCAGAAACAACTTGCACAAAGATTAAATGTTGCTCAGCAAACAATTTCCGATCGTTTACAAGCAAATGGGAAAGATTTTAAAGAGAGGAAAATGGGTGCCACATCAACTGAATGAAAGACAAATGGAAAATCGAGAAGTCATCAGTAAAATGTTGATTCAGTGGCATGAAAGAAAGTCTTTTTTGCATCGAATTGTGACTGGCGATGAAAAGTGGATTTATTTTGAGAATCCCAAATGCACAAAATCATGGGTTGATCCAGGTCAACCATCAACATCGACTGCAAGGCCAAATCGCTTCAGAAAGAAGACAATGCTCTGCGTTTGTTGTGTTATGAGCTTCTAAAACCAGGTGAAACTGTTAATACTGATCATTACCAACAACAAATAATAATTTGAACCATGCTTTGATTGTAAAACTACCAGAATGAGCCAGAAGACACGGCAAAGTAATTTTGCTTTATGATAACGCACCATCACACACTTCAAAACCAGTTAAAGACATGTTAAAAGATCTTGCCTGGGAAGTATTAACCTACCTGCCATATTCACCAGACCTTGCTCCTTCAGATTACCACTTGTTCTGATTGATGGCACACATGCTTTCTGAGCAGCACTTCAAAATGTACAAAGAAGTAGAAAATTGGGTCTCTGAATGGTTTGCCTCAAAACAAGAAAAGTTCTATTGGGACGGTATCCACAAATTACCTGAAAGATAGGGGAAATGTGTAGCTAGCGATGGACATTACTTTGAATAAAGCACTTTTGATGTTTCTCTTTAAATTATCATGTTTTCTTTAACAGGACAAAATTGTCAATGGAAGATATAGAGTTCAGAACCACACTTTTAAGGTCTCTCAAGAACTGTTTAGAAGCCGCCGATAAACTTAATGAGATCTACAAGAAAACTAATGAGACCCTCGATGTTATGTTGGGGAACCAACTAGAAATTAAGCATACACGGACTGAAATAACGAATATTATACAGACTCCCGACAGCAGACCAGAGGAGCGCAAGAATCAAGTCAATGATTTGAAATGCGAGGAAGCAAAAAACACCCATCTGGAGGGGCGGAATGAAAAAAGAATCCAAAAATGCGAGGATAGTGTAAGGAGCCTCTGGGACAGCTTCAAGCGTACCAACATTAGAATTATAGGGGTGCCAGAAGATGAGAGAGAGCAAGATATTGAAAACCTATTTGAAGAAATAATGACAGAAAACTTCCCCCACCTGGTGAAAGAAATGGACTTACAGGTCCAAGAAGCGCGGAGAACCCCAAACAAAAGGAATCCAAAGAGGACCACACCAAGACACATCATAATTAAAATCCAAGAGCAAAATATAAAGAGAGAATCTTAAAAGCAGCAAGAGAAAGAAACTCAGTTACCTACAAGGGAATACCCATACGACTGTCAGCTGATTTCTCAACAGAAACTTTGCAGGCCAGAAGGGAGTGGCAACAAATATTCAAAGTGATGAATACCAAGAACCTACAACCAAGATTACTTTATCCAGCAAAGCTATCATTCAGAATTGAAGGTCAGATAAAGAGCTTCACAGATAAGGAAAAGCTAAAGGAGTCCATCACCACCAAACCAGGATTATATGAAATGCTGAAAGGTATCCTTTAAGAAGAGGAAGAGGAAGAAAAAGGTAAAGATACAAATTATGAACAACAAATATGCATCTATCAACAAGTGAATCTAAGAATCAAGTGAATAAATAACCTGATGAACAGAATGAACTGGTGATTATAATAGAATCAGGGACATAGAAAGGGAATGGACTGACTATTCTTGGGGGGGAAAGGGGTGTGGGAGATGCGGGAAGAGACTGGACAAAAATCGTGCACCTATGGATGAGGACAGTGGGTGGGGAGTGAGGGCGGAGGGTGGGGCAGGAACTGGGAGGAGGGGAGTTATGGGGGGGAAAAAAGAGGAACAAATGTAATAATCTGAACAATAAAGATTTAATTAAAAAAAATAAAAAATAAAAAATAAATAAATAAATAAATAATCATGTTTTCTTTGATCACAGAATTCTCATTATTAACCGGTACACTTGGCAGTACCAGTATCAGGCACAAATGTGAGACTACAGGTGGAACTGTGGCAATTTCTCACTCGTAAATGAGAGAACAGCAAGTAGTACAAAGCAGCAGGTCTTACTGTCTCCACATATATTTGGTTTCTTGCTCTCAGCTACCTACAGCTAAATAGCTTCATGTTAGGACTGGCATTTCAACTAACCTAGAGCTCTTGTAAGTTAAGCATGAACACTTTCAGTGAGTTGCTTCCCTTTGAATATTCCCTTCATAGGTGAGACCTAATGTTCATTGTTTCTCCATGACCCTCTTTGGAGCCTCTGTAAAGTCTGTGAAATACGCAAATAAGAAAGGTATAAAGAACCAAGTCCTGGACAGCTTGCTCCCATTACTTCTGTATTCTCAGGATGAAAATGATGCAGTAGCTGAGGTAATGTGTAGTGTCAACTTCTTTCTGGACTTCAAATCCAGAGCCAGATCTGCAAATAAATGCTCATATATTTGAAAGCAGAGATTTTTGTGGTACCATCTTTTCTTCCCATTTCCTCTGGTACAGGCTACCTTTTAATTATCTTGACTAAGTGAATTATTTAAAAAGTACTACTATTTCTCTGTAGCAAATTATGGCCCTTTGTGGGTAGCCCAACCCAAAATTCAGCCTAGCACAGAGTCCAAGATATAGTGCCCCATTCAACAAACTCTTTTGTATTTAGATTTTTTAAATTGATTTGAGAAACAGAGAGTGAGAGAGAGAGAAACAGGAACATTGATGTGAGAGAGAAACATCAATCAGCTACCCCCTGCACATGCCCTGACCAGGGATCACGCCCTGTATGGAACAATGCTGTAACCAACTGAACTAAGGCAACAAACTCTTTTTATTGATAACATTAATAATATTCCTTTTCTTCTTTCATTCAAGAACTGCCTCTAAGCCTTGAGACAAAAAGACTTGTATTGAGGCTAAGTGACAGACAGTAGCTTCTCTGGCAATCTGGAGAAGCATTTGCCTCTCCTTAATCTTCTCAGAGCTTCTGCCATAAAAGTTGTGAGTAGGATGTCATCATCTTTAGTACTTACTGTCCCACATCTCCAAAGTCCATTCCAAGGTACTAACTATAACCACCAGTTACAGCAAACCAGAGAAGTAGGTTTAGACTTCAAGGATTCTGGACAAATGCTGGCACTCTCACCTACTTATGTTCCTTACAGAAGTGAAAGCAGTTTCAGAAAAAGGATTTAATATTATGGTAGATCTTGGCATCTTGTTACGGGGGAAGTTTTATGGCCTTGTGGCCATAAATATAAAATATTTTAGACCTCAATAAAGTATAAAGCAAAGCTTCCCAACCAAGTGATGAGAAAGTATGCCATGTAGGGGTTACAATATATGCAGGTACTGATAGTCGCCCACCCCCAACTCTGCCCAGGCAAGGCCTAGAGCAATGGTTCTCAACCTTCCTAATGCCACGACCCTTTAATACAGTTCCTCATGTTGTGGTGACCCCCAACCATAAAATTATTTTCGTTGCTACTTCATAACTAATTTTGCCTCTGTTATGAGTCGTAATGTAAATATCTGATATGCAGGATGTATTTTCATTGTTACAAATTGAACATAATTAAAGCATAGTGATTAATCACAAAAACAATATGTAATTATATATGTGTTTTCCGATGGTCTTAGACAACCCCTGTGAAAGGGTCGTTTGACCCCCAAAGGGGTCGCGACCCACAGGTTGAGAACCGCTGGCCTAGAGCAATGAACACTTTGGGCTCATTTTCCTTCAAACATTGAATAACCTCTAGTCCCCTCTTTAAGGCTCCTTATTGGGTTAGCCTAAGCAGAGAGAAGGGATATAACATTATACAGATTAGGAATCACTAATATAGTGGGGCCTTGATTTACGAGTGTCCCAACTAACGAGTTTTTTGAGATACCAGCTGTCTCTTGACCGATTTTTTGCATTGAGTTGATAGAGTAATTTGAGTTAATGAGCTCCTTAACGAGCTCGGTCTCAGAATGAATTAAACTCGTAAGGCAAGGCCCCACTGTACAGAAAACATAATAAACACCCATATATCTACCACTCATGCTAAGAAATTAATCAAGCACCTATTTCCAATTCCAATAGAATTCCCATAAGAACTATCATCCTGAATTTCATTTTTATCATTTCTGTGGTAATATTTCTCATGTTTTAAGATCTTATATGTAAAAATATTTTGTGTTGTGTCATTTATATATCAGCACCATTTTGTTTAATGTTATACTTACAGGATTTATCTGTTGTATAGCTCTACTTCATTTGTTTTTACTGCTATATAAAATTTTACCATGTGAATATCCTACATCCCATTTTCCTATTCCTACACATTCAGATTGTCAATTTTTCATTATTACATTGCTGCAATATTTTCTTGTGTACAGTGTGAGAGTTTCTTGATGGCATAAACCCAGAAGTAGAATATCTGGGTATCTTTAACTTTACCAGATATTTACAAATTGCTAAACAAAGTAACTGAATTAATTTGTATTCCTATCAGTCCCAAAAGGAATTTCAATGGCCCAAATATCTAGTGGACCTGGGACAAAATACTTGAAGTCATCCGAGGTGTTCTATGGTGCATGGGAGGCATTCTAAGAGTAATGCCTAGAGAAGAGGTCTACTTGTGAAATTTTGCTCAAGTATCTGGATCAGGAAAGGATCAATACTCTCCAGAGTTCCTTCCAAGCCAGAGATCCCACAAGGACTCTGAGGAGAACTACACTTTCCTGTGCAGAGTGACAGAAAGGTGATAACAGGAGCAATAAGTGGGTGTAGGAGCCCTATCTCTAGAGCATGGGGTAGTGGGAACTCCTACCTGAATCTCTGGTCTGGGCATTACACCTGATAGCTCTCACTTTAGCCTTAGATCAGTGGTTTCTACATCCTCTCAAGAACACCACAGGTTTTATGGATTCCCTTTAGGGACTATGGGGAAGTTTGAGGGCAGTACTCTGGCTCCTTTCCACCCCTCCTCTCACTTCAACGGGGATAATTGTGAGCTTATCAGCTTTTCATATTGGACTTTAGTGACAGTTCTGAGGAAAGGTTACCTCAGTTAAAAAATGTTTGAGCCCTGGGTGGTGTGGTTCAGTTGGTTGGTTGAGTGTCATCCAGTGCACTGAAGGGTCACAGGTTTGGTTTCCAGTCATGGCAAATGCCCAGGTTGCAGGCTTGATCCCTGGTTGGGGTGCATGTGGGAGGCAACTGAGCCGATCAACGTTTCTCTCCCACATTGATGTTCGTTATCTCTCTCTTTCTCTCTCTCTCCCCCTTCCTCTCTAAAATCAATAAAAACATATTAATTTTTAAGAAATGAAATTGCATCTTTTTTTAAAAAAGAGTTAAAAAATACTGATCTCTGATAATCTTTTTCACAGGAGAGCAGGCGAATCCTAACTATATGTGCCCAGTTTCTTAAGTGGAAGCTGCCCCAACAAGTGCACTGCAAAGATCCCTGGTATATCAGCCCTAGTGAAGTTGAAACAATCTGCAAATTCTTTGTATGTGAGAAATCATGGTTTTGTTAACTTTAATTCATTGACCTTTTTTTCAGATGTTGTTTTTTTAATATATTTTTTATTGATTTCAGAGAGGAAGGCAAAGGGAAAGAAAGAGACATCAATGATGAGAGAGAATCACTGATCAGCTGCCCCCTATTGGGGATCGAGCCTACAACCCAGGCACGTGCCCTGACCAGGAATCAAACTGTGATTTCCTGGTTCATAGGTCAACGCTCAACCACTGAGCCACACCGGCTGGGCTCAGATGTCGTTTTTAATCATAAGTTTCTATCTAAGAACTGTTCTGTACTGTGAATCTATAGCTTCCTCCCAACTGAGTCACAAATACACTTTCTATTACCACCTTTCCTAACAGAAAAGACTGGTGAGTTCTTGGGATCCCCAAGATTACAGGTTGGGCTACCTGCACATACAGCTAATAGCACGTACTCAAAGAACTGCTTGTGGAGTAAACTGGAATGGAGTTGTGTATTGCCTTTACAATGATCTCTAATTCCTGTCCTTGGATATAGTAGATTGTTTTACCCTCCATTAGGGCATGTTCAGGGAGCCCCAAGCAAGGCTGCCATACTGTTGTAGGCCATGCAGCATGATGACAGCATGCCACTGGCTCTGCCAGAGCCCTGCTAGCATCCTTTCTCCCCACAAACTTGACAATCTTAAGGGTAGGCTTAAGCCAGAACAGCCTCAGGAGGCCGTTTTTGTTTTTGTTTTTTTTTTCTAGACAACTGACTGTAGAACCACCGGGGTCCTAATGAAGACCTTAGGACTTGTCCTGTCCAGGTGGCTCATTTGGTTGGAGCGTTTTCTCTTGCACCAAAATGTTGTGGGCTCAATTCCCAGTCAGGGCATTTACCTAGGTTGCAGGTTCGTTCCCCGGCCGGGTGTGTACAGGAGGCAACCAATCAATGTATCTCTCTCACACTGATGTTTCTTTCTCTCTCCTTATAAAAAAAATTAATAAATAAAAACATCCTCAGGTGAGGATTTAAAACAAAATACCCTAGGACTGACGATTCCCAGAGATCTTCCATATGTGTAATCTGTTTAGGTCCCATCAGGGGCTTCCCTGGTTGGACTTACAGGGCTAGCAAGCCCCACAATACCCTTGTGTCAGGTTTTCCTTTAGGGATTATCTCTCTGACCTGCAGCCAAAACTTATAACTGATGCACTGATGACAGTATTTACAGCAGGAAATTCAGTGCTCTCAGTGGATAAGACTACAGATTATGTTAAATCATAAGTCCTATGAGAACCAATTCCTGTTGTTCTCCTCCAATCCCCAAGATACCTATTCTTGTAAGAGATCCACTGAGAAGTGAACTCACTCATCCAATAAGCGTAACACCTCCAATGTGCAACAGACCATGGAGAACCCAGAAACATACCAATGATTAAAACTTCCTCAGGGGAGCTTGCAAGCTAGTAAGGGAGATAAAACCTCTGTGCAATATTAAATAGAAATTCAAGGTGGAAAACATGTGCCAAGAGAGGAGTACTTGCAAAATGCTGAGTAGGGTTAGGTCAGGAAGGCAGGAGCTGTCAGGGAAGAGCTCATAGGGAGGCAGAACTCAAGGTGGATTATAGAGAACAGAGAAGACTTAGATACAGAGAAATGACAGATTTAGAGGCATTACAGGCACAACATGCAGCATGAGTGGGTGTGAGCAAGGTGTATGCGGAGGATTTAACTATCTAGGGCAGGGGTGGGGAACCTTTTTTCTGCCAAGGGCAATTGGATATTTATAATGTCATTCACAAGCCATACAACTAAAAAATTATGTTGCTATGAAAAAAGCTGCTAGATTTATTGAATTTTGAGTCCCACCTGTGGCTGCCTTGGCAGGGCCAGACCAAATATACAGCCGTCGGGCCGGATGTTCCCCACCCCTGGTCGAGAGGATTGTTGTGGCATATTATTTATTGAGCAACTGTAGTTATTTCAAGTACTGTACTATATGTATATCTGACCTAGTTCCTGACTACGGAAATTACAGTGAGGCTGATAAAAATAGTGCTGCTACTTCACTCCTTTATACTTACTTTTTTCCTCACTTAGGGAAAAAAATGCCAGGAGAAAGTTAACATCCTAGCCCAAGCATTGACGTTCTTCAAGAATGCAAAACTTCCTATCAGAAGAGCAGCAGTCTTATTTGTCGGTACAAAGAAAATCCTTTCATTACTACAGTAACGTCTATCCTGAACTTTCCCAAATTGTGTTGTTGAATATTCCCATTCTTTATGAAGACCTTGAAATATATATGTCTTTGGACAAAGGGGCTATATTATCTATCAGTAATTATCAAGTAGTTGTAAATCCAGTTTTTAGAATCTAATTATCAGAAACCAATTCTGCCAGCTGCTTAGAGCCAAAGCCAGATCACAGACTCACTGACTTTATTCTGTATTTAGGGATCTTTTCAAAGTACTTGGATCGCAATGAGCTTAAAACGAAGGGTACTGAATGGATAGAGGATGGTAAGTAATAAAACACTGGGGTTTGGGGTGACCCATCTTTTGGAAGGTATCTGCAGCAGTGACTGGGCAGGCACTGTGGCAGAGCTGAGACTGGGAACTAGAAAGCCTGACTTCTGTGGTAAGTGGAAATCCTTGGAGATTTCAGCTGAATGACAGTCTCACCCCAGTCCAATCCCCTCTTTAAGAAAGAACATGACCGCCGAAACTGGTTTGGCTCAGTGGATAGAGCGTCGGCCTGCGGACTGAAGGGTCCCAGGTTCGATTCCGGTCAAGGGCATGTGCCTGGGTCGCGGGCACGTCCCCGGTGGGGGATGTGCGGGAGGCGGCTGGTCGATGTTTCTCTCTCATCGATGTTTCTGACTCTCTATCTCTCTCCCTTCCTCTCTGTAAAAAATCAATAAAATATATTAAAAAAAAAAAAAAAAAAAAAGAAAGAACATGACCTTATTTGTCTGGGAACCAGCTTTGATGAATTGTCTCAGGGACAGTTCCTGAACTTTGTCAGGAAATAAGACATTACATAGAAACACTATCTTAGTAAATTATGATGACACCTCACAAGTACCTCACAAGATGATTGCAGCACTATTTTTTATAAGCAGTTGCCCTGTAAGGTGGTAGGACTTGATAATAAAGATGTTTATGAGAGCAACTAAGATGGCGGCATAGGTAAACACCGGGAAATTATTGCCTCACACAACAATTGAAAATTACCCCAAAGGACTGAGCAAACATCATCCAGAACAACAGGAAGGCTGGCTAAGTGTAAATTCCACAACTAGAAGGAAAGAAAAGCACTCTGAGAGCCAGAGGTGCTGCGGAGGTGAAGTGCAGAGGTACGGCGGCGCCTGAGGGGGTGGCGCCTGAGGACGCGGCTGTCTTTTTGAATCACAAACTCCCGACGGCTCTGAACTCCGGTTCCGGGAAGTCTCTGGGGACCCAGGTCTCACACGGGGAGAAGCTGGTCTGTCCGGCAGCGAGCGAACTTGAGGGCGGCTTTCCCTCAGAGGTGCTTGCAGCCGTTACCGGAACACTGAGACGCGCGACTCCGGGCGGAGAATCGGCCATGGCCGCTTTCTCCGCCCTCTGACTCCCTGAGACCCCGCCCCACCCAGGCTGCGGCAGAGGCTTTTGCATGTGAATGTACCTAACTGCAGCCGAACCAGGCAGACCTGGAACTTCCAAGAGAAGGCCCAAGGCCCCGCAGCGGCTTGCATTGCTTCACAGCTGAGCCTCTTCGTGGCTCCTGCTGTGTGGCCTCAGGCAGAGGCTGAATTAGCACCTCCTTAGATCCAGGAGCCACTGTACCCAGTGGTCAGAGGGGGTCCATCCAGACTGCAACTCCTCAGATCCATAAGGGACGCACTCAGGGAGCAGACTCAGTGAACACCAAAGCCCCACTGAAGCAAGTCTTGCCCCAGAAGGGTGTCTTCAGCACAGAAGTTCTCCCACTTTAGACACAGCTGATTCTCACAGCCAATTGGCCTGGAGGTCAATTCCTCCCAGTGAGTCTACAACAACCAAGGCACCAAGAGTGCACCAAGAGTGTCCACCCCAGGTAACTGGGGAGGCTGAGCTACTGGGCCCTACAGGACACCTGGCGCACAGGGCCACTCTATCAACACAGGGAAGCTGCCAAAATGCGGAGACAAAGAAACAGGTCACAAATGGCAGAAATGGAGGAAAGCAAACGATTGGATACAGAGTTTAAGGCCAAGGTTATAAGGTTTTTCAAGAATTTTATGGAAACCGCCGATAAATTTAATGAATCCCTCAATAAGTATAGGGAGACCATGGAGGACATGAAAAAGGACCAACTAGAAATTAAGCATACACTGACTGAAATAAAGAATAATTTACAGAGATCCAGCAGCAGAAAAGAGGATCCCAAGAATCAAGTCAAAGATTTGAAATACAAAGAAACAAAAAATACCCAACCGAAAAAGAAAAAAGAAAAGAGATTCCAAAAATATGAAGATAGTGTAAGGAACCTCTGGGACAACTTCAAGCGTACCAACATCAGAATTATAGGGGTACCAGAAGGAGAGAGAGGGCAAGATATTGAAAACCTTTTTGAAGAAATAATGACAGAAAACTTCCCCTACCTGGTGAAAGAAATGGACTTACAAGTCCAGGAAGCGCAGAGAACCCCAAACAAAAGGAATCCAAGGAGGACCACACCAAGACACATCATAATTAAAATGCCAAGAGCAAAAGATAAAGAGAGAATCTTAAAAGCAGCAAGAGAAAGACAGTCAGTTACCTACAAGGGAGTACCCATACGACTGTCAGCTGATTTCTCAACAGAAACCATGCAGGCCAGAAGAGACTGGCAAGAAATATTCAAAGTGATGAATAGCAAGAACCTGCAACCAAGATTACTTTATCCAGCAAAGCTATCATTCAGAATAGAAGGTCAGATAAAGAGCTTCACGGATAAGAAAAAGCTAAAGGAGTTCATCACCACCAAACCAGCATTATATGAAATGCTGAAAGGTATTCTTTAAGAAGAGGAAGAAGAAAAAGGAACTCTTACCATTTGCCACAGCATGGATGGAACTTGAGAGCGGATAAATACCACAGGATCTCACTCATTTGTGGAATATAATGAACAACATAAGCTGATGAACAAGGACTGATCCAGAGACGGAGAGGCATTGATTGGACTGTCGGGACTTGGAGGGAAGGTAGGGGAGGGTGGGGGTAAGGGGGAAAGATCAACCAAAGGACTTATATGCAAGCATATAGGCCTAACCAATGGACATGGACAACGGGGGGGTGAGGGCATGAGCGGGGGTGGGGGGGGGTGGGGGGTAGAGGGTAACGTGGGGACAAGGACACATATGTAATATCTTAATCAATAAAAAATATATTAAAAAGAAAAAAAAAAGATGTTTATAGTCATATAAGGCAACCATCATACAAATGGTTTTCTGAATTGTTAGTGAAAAATTTCCATAATTGTACAGTTTTGAGGATTTCTCAAAGAATTATTTATTCCCACTTAAGAAGTAGGCCTCGCCGAAACCGGTTTGGTTCAGTGGATAGAGCGTCGGCCTGTGGACTGAAAGGTCCCAGGTTCGACTCCGGTCAAGGGCATGTACCTGGGTTACGGGCACATCCCGGTGGGAGATGTGCAGGAGGCAGCTGATCGATGTTTCTCTCTCATCGATGTTTCTAACTATCTCTCTCCCTTCCTCTCTGTAAAAAATAAATAAAATATATATATATAAAAAAAAAGAAGTAGGCCTATATGCCCTAACCAGTTTGGCTCAGTGGCTAGAGCGTCAGCCTGCGGACTCAAGGGTCCCAGGTTCGATTCCGGTCGGGGGCATGTACCTTGGTTGCGGGCACATCCCCAGTGGGGAGTGTGCAGGAGGCGGCTGATCGATGTTTCTCTCTCATCAGTGTTTCTGGCTCTTTATCCCTCTCCCTTCCTCTCTGTGAAAAATCAATAAAATATATTTTAAAAAAAAGAAAGAAAGAAATAGGCCTATAATTTTAAAATGCCATTGCTAATTCTCACAACCCCAAAGGACTTTGAGAACCAAATTAAAATCCTGGATAATTCACTGCTTTTAAAATAAAAATATAGAGCCCTAGTTAGTTGGTTACTCAGTGGTTAGAGCATTGACCTATGAACTGAAGGGTCTCAGGTTTGATTCCAGTCAAGGGCACATACCTCGGGTTGCAGGCTCGATCTGGTAGGAGCACATGTGGGAGGCAACCAATGGATGTGTCTCTTTTACATCAATGATTTTCTTGGTCTCTCCCCCATTCTCTCTGAAGAATCAATGGGAAAAATGTCCTCGGGTGAGAATTAACAAAAAAATAAAAATATATAGAACTGGTAAAATAGCCAGAAGCTAAAGCTTATTTAGGAAAGATCATGCCACTTTTCTAAGGTCTCTTACTTCTGCACAGTTATCAGAAGCAAAATAATAGGAAGATCATGTAGATTATTTTATTCTATGAGGTAGGATTCTACATGGTTGATTATATTCAATTAAAAGTAAATTATGTTCTAAAACACTGAGGAATCAAAGTTGCTTTTCTATTCTAAAGTTATCTATATAGAAAATCTAAATTTGTATATATATATATATATATATATATATATATATATATATGAATGGACCATATAAATTTGCCATTTTGTAGGGCAAAAACAGTCAAATATCAGCAATCTCAACCTAATGGAATAACCTCACACTATTCCCTCCCTAACAGTTGCTAATCTGTTTTAGAAATAGGGTAGAACACCCTATCACTCTTTTTGAATAAGCTTATGTCATTTACCACAGGCAGTTTTAAGCAAATTTAAACAAAAATGTCAAAAATTAAAATAACAATTAAAATTAATTTCATGACAAAATAAGTTCCAATTCCTTTGGGTTCCAAAATAGATGCCTGTTTCCTCATGTGTTCTGTGGAACATGTAGACAGATCTTAACGCAGGAACTGAAAGAAACTAACACCTAGTCAAATATTCCATTTTAGAAATCAACATGACAAATTTAAAGGCTAAAATGGTACTTAAAAACAAAAAGCTCCTAATTATGAAAAGGTCTTGAGCATTTTTGAGACCTTGAAGAATTAGAAATTGGCTGAGTAGCTCAGTTGGTTAGAGCATGGTCCTGATATGCCAAGGTTGTGGGTTTGATCCCTGGTCAAGACATGTACAAGAATCAACCAGTGAATGCATAAATAAGTGGAACACCAAATCAATATTTCTCTCTCTCTCTCTCTCTCTCTCTCTCTCTCTCTCTCTCAAATCAATACATGAAAAATTTTAAAAAGAGAATAACCTTTTCTAATATGATAAAAACATAGATCCATAAAGTAAAAGAATGATAGATTTGTCTATGTAAACTTTTTAAATACCAACTTTGAAACAAAAAATAACAGACAGAAAGGGTATAAGGGGATAAATAGTGATGGAAAAAATTTTTTAAAAAAATTTAAAGTAACAGAAAAAAACTGAAAAATAAACAATGATATGGGGGACATATTTGCCATATAACAAAGGGTTAATATCCTTAAAACAAATCAGTACTTTCTCAAAAGAAAAGTGGCAAACAATATGAATAAGCAATTCATAGAAGAGAAATGGCCAACAAATATATAAAAATATTCAATATTACTAGTAAAGTTTATAAAACAAAATGAGATACCAGTATGTATTTTTCTGTCAACATGGCAAAGATTATTAATTAAATCTCAACATTGGTGAGTAAAGAGAAAACACATTATCACACACTGTGCTGGTATGAGCATAAATTGATACAACTTTTTTTTATGGGGAAGTTTGGTAATATGTATTAAAACCCTTTAAATAAGTACATACTTTCACTTATAAATCCCAGTTGAGAAATTTAACCTATGAAAATAAGCAGAAATCATTATAGGAATGTTCATTTCAGTGTTACTTAAGCAAAAATGGGAAACATCAAGATTAGAAACAAGGAAATTATAGTATATCCATATTGTACAATCTTATGAAGCTGTGAAAAATATTGTTAAAAAGGGGAATAATGGCCCTAACCGGTTTGGCTCAGTGGATAAAGCATTGGCCTGCGGACTCAATGGTCCTGGGTTCGATTCCGTCAAGGGCATGTACCTGGTTGCAGGCACATCCCCAGTGGGGAGTGTGCAGGAGGCAGCTGATCTATGTTTCTAACTCTCTATCCCTCTCCCTTCCTCTCTGTAAAAAAATCAATAAAATATATATATATATATATATATATATTTTTTTTTTTTTTAAATATATTTTATTGATTTTCCACAAAGAGGAAGGGAGAGAGATAGAGAGTTAGAAACATCGTTGAGAGAGAAACACCGATCAGCTGCCTCCTGCACATCTCCCACTGGGGATGTGCCCGCAACCCAGGTACATGCCCCTGACCGGAATCGAACCCGGGACCCCTCAGTCCGCAGGCCGACGCTCTATCCACTGAGCCAAACCGGTTTCGGCAATAAAATATATTTTTAAAAAAGGAATAATGATTTAAGAGTAACCTCTAGGACCAACAGGAACTTAGAAATTAATAATATTAGACAAAACTTAATGGGTCCAGATAATCTGACTTTATGTAGACTACTTGGCAGTGTGATTAGTGTAAAGGAGAAAACTATCTGACAACCCAAAAATGAGTAAGTTTTGTAGGTCAAAACTGGAATTGATTTACAAACTTTCAGATAGAGGTTTGGAAAAATGTTAGCCCTTCATCTCAGCTGCTGTAGGCATGTTGGCTGTTTGGTGTCTGGACCATTTACAATGTTCTTCACCTCCTGCCTGGGTTTTCTTGCACTTAGATCTGAGACACCTGCTGTATGACCCTGAGCCCTCTATGCACATGGTTGTTTCTCAAGCCTTACTCCAAATCCAGAAGGTGGGGGCTGAACCAGAGCCTGAGCAGACTGTATGGGGATTGAGGAAGCTCATGTGTTGTCTTCCAACCTAGAAATGCAAGGCAAGCAACATCAGGTAAAAAATAATCCTTTCAGAAACCACAGAAGCAACTCATGCTCCTTTTTTTTCTCAGACTTAAAGAAAGCTACCTCCACCCATTTAATTACCTCAGGATATTTTTTGCTGTCAAGACCTTTAAGGAACTAGAATATGTAAGAGAAAACAGTTCTTGGTTTGGCAGGTAGAGTGTCAATGTACTGAATTTTTGAGGCATTCCAGAGCATCCACAAAGTCCCAGTTTGATAAACATGTCTAGGAGAGCTTCAAAAGAGATTCTAAATAAATGTTAATGTTGCAGTGTTTTTATTGTTGGCTCTTTTGACAAAACTCAGTCTACTTGTCAACAATCTAAAAATAACATCCAATTCTTATAGTTTGATATTAATGATCTGTTTTTATAAAATTCCTACATCCTTTCTTTCCCTTTCCTTTAAAAACCTTCAAGCAAGAAAAAACTTCTGAAGTGGTGTAATGCTAAACCTATTCCAATATGTAAGGTTTCCACTCCTTCCCCTTTTTCATTTTTCTGATTCCCTCTCCTACAGCTGTTGTCAGATTCTACTATTTGTTGGTTACCCACTGTCTGCTTATGAGAAAATTTTCTTACAAACAGAAATTTTCTGAGAAATAGATTACTTTGTATTTATCAATATTTTGATAAGCTACATGTAGAAATGGTTACTATTGACCTAATTCCCAAGCACTTGTTTGGTTGAGGAACATAAGCAAAGAACCAGGACTTAACTATTTAGGACAATGGAGAGGCCTTGTAATATGGGAAATGAAAAAGGAAATGAGGCAACTAGCATATGAAGAATAGATAGATCCAATGGTGAATTGCATTAAGTTTTTGTTGTAAAGTGAGCAATATGAATCTTTACCACCCTATCCCCACCACCTTTCACCCCAATCCTTCTGCCAAGACATTGCTAGAAACAAATTTCTTCACGATTCATGGTGAGTAAGATGTTTTGAGGGATGTGATAGCGTGCCAAGTGTGGTTTCAAGGGGATCTCTGCCCAAGAGAGGTCTTGTTTAAGACTAGCAGTCAAGAGTTTGAGCTAAAATGCAGGACCTGGCTGCTTGATGAACTAACTCTTCACCCTCAAGCAGAGCCACCTTGAGGGTGATCACTGGATGCTGAACTTCAGTGCAGCAAGCCCATTTGACTTCCATGTATCCCATGCTACTTTCTCCTTGGTCTCATAGCACTTACCCAACTCCACTCCACTCCACTATCCATTTTATGAATTATCCAATAAAAATGACTAAGGCTTATTAAATATTGACAATGAACCAGACTCTAACTATATTATACAATTAACTCTTTTAATCCTCATAACTACTCCATGTATTATCTCCATTTTGCAGATGGAGAAGCTGAGAAACAGAATGAAAGGTATTTGCACAAGCTTACACAACCTAGTAAATGCTAAACTCCAGTAGTCTGGCTCCAAAGCCCACATCTTTGATTGGTCTGCTCTGTTCCTCTACAATCTGATTTTACCCTCTAATGTGAATAAAAGCACATTTATTCTACAATTAATCTCAGTTGCTGGACTTGTGCCCAAAATTCATGTACTCAAATAATGTTATAAATTATGATTAAGCCTGGCTGGCATGGCTCAGTGGATGAGCATCGAACTATGAACCAGGAGGTCACAGTTCGATTCTGTCAGGGCACGTGTCTGGGTTGCGAGCTCAGTCCTCAGTGTGAGGCGTGCAGAAGGCAGTTAATGATTCCCTCTCATCATTGATATTTCTATCTCTCCCTTCCTCTCTGAAATCAATAAAAATATATTTAAAAAATAAATTATGATTGAACCTCAAATAATACAAAGTTTGAACACTTCTTACCTAAAAGTTAGCATATCTCATTTTATTTTTAATGGGAAAGGATGCACATCCTACACTGAGGAAAGTGAAGTTAGAACAAAAAGCGGTGGTTATCCTTGAGGAATTTTTTGAGTCCTTGGTTTGACTTCATGGTCTTTGTCTCACAGCAAAAAAACAGACCTTTAGGTTTAGGGTGCAGTTTAAATCTCCAGTGACATATAAGAAGTTGAATGAATCCTTTCACTCTACTCAGATTTACACTGGAGTCCCTGTCGTTCCAGGCAGATTTTTATTTCTGAGTAATAATAACAGGGAGAAGCAAGCACAACAATGCATATCTTATTTGTTTTATTGTGTTAAAATTCACAGAGAGAAGCATCCATTAAGAGACAGAGAGGACTGCTCTGTACTGAACTACCTAGGAGTTTGGGAAGAGCTGAAAAAGTACTTGATAGTGATTCTATTACCACGTCTATTTATTCCAAAGATCTCTATTATTTTTATACAAGGCTGTCCTCAGAGATAGGCTTATGTTTTTATGGGATTTTTTAAATATACAAAACAAAAATTTCTGGACATTTAATTTTGTTGTAATATGTTGAAATAAAAGTTCAATATATTTGAATATTATTTTGGCTTTATTTTTATTACATACTATTAAAATGTATTATTCATTATCTATTACTGGCCCAACTGTCTTTATTAGTTTAGATTTTCACTTTTTAAAATTCAAGTATTCGCCGAAACCAGTTTGGCTCAGTGGATAGAGCGTCGGCCTGCGGACTGAAAGGTCCCAGGTTCGATTCCGGTCAAGGGCATGTACCTGGGTTGCGGGCATATCCCCAGTAGGAGATGTGCAGGAGGCAGCTGATCGATGTTTCTCTCTCATCGATGTTTCTAACTCTCTATCTCTCTCCCTTCCTCTCTGTAAAAAATCAATAAAATATATTAAAAAATAAAAATAAAAATAAAATAAAATTCAAGTATTCAAGTATTGCTTTTCCTCCTTATACTGAGATACCTTATTTTATAAGAAATTCGTTTTTTTTCTTATTGAAAGATTAAACTATTATGTAAGTAAAAGATGGGATTGGGTGAGGGGAGAATCTCTCAGGCATCGGCCCTGGAAAATAAAACAGTACTAGGTACAAGTGTAAAATAAGTCAAATTGTTGGGGGGGGGGGGGGATAGTGAGGACTAGCTGTAGTTACAAGAAATATTAATCATGCTCTGTTAACCATGATTGTTTTGTCCTGATTAAAGAAAGCACAGTCTGACCTGGCTGGGACCTGGGAGTTAATGCCCCTGGGACCTGGTAGTTAACCTCCAAATGTGGTCCATTCTCCTTATCAGAGAACTGCCTATCATCATGGAAAGAATAACAACCTTGTTGCCAAAACAATGGAGTCCTGGAGGGGAGCCTGCCATTTGCAACCCCAGCTCTTGCCTGTAGTGGGTAATCATTATACCCATTCTTATCCCTTTTGTCTACTTACCCATGCCTATAATTCCCTTTGCCTACTTCCCATGTAATCTTTGTCCTTCTACCCAAAATAAGCAGCTAGCTTGGGGAGGCGGGGGGGGGGGGGGGGGGGGGGGGGGGGGGCGTGCGGCGCGGGAGGAGGAGGCTGAAGGGGATATAGAGTAGATTTTTGTGGATGACCTGCTGTTCTCCCATGTTGCGGGCAATATTGAAAAATAAAACCTCATACATAATTCAACCCTGTCTCTGCTTGGTTGGCTAAAGTAGTGGCAGGCAGCCCAGACCCATTCCTTGTCTGGTTTCAAAATCTCTCTGTCCCTTCCAGCACCCCCTCCTTCCTTCTTCCAGTTTTTAAACTCCATGCTCCTTTTTCTATCTCTCCTCTTAGGAAAGGATCTGGTGAACTCACTCTTAGTGTGAGTGACTAATAATGCAACCTAACATACACCAATCACAACCTTCCAACTCAGTTTTAGCTAGCTTACCTTACTCTAGAAAATAGGACCTTCTAGCCTTCAAGCAAATCCCTGACCTCCTAGCCAGGAACTGTGCTAGGTAATTAGGAAACATCAAGAAGTAAAACAGAACAAGCCCTGGCCAGTTGCTCAATTGGTTGGACCATTATCTCGATGTGTCAAGGTTGTGGGTTCCATCCTTGGTTAGGTCACATAGAAGAAGCAAACAATGAATGCATAAATAAATGGAACAAATCTGTTTTTCTCTCTCCCTTTCTCTCTCTAAAATCAATACAATTTTTTGTATAAAAGTAAGAAAACAGAATAAAAAGATAAAACAAAAAAGATAAAAAATAAATTTAAAAAATATATATAGAAAAATAAACTACAAAAAGTGGAATGACAAATTGATATTTCTGTCTTCTTTTCTAAAATCAATTTTTTAAAATGCTATTGCTATTCTGAAATATCTTCTTGTGACCACAGAGTGCCCTGGTCACTCTAGATTTTGATAAAGGCCTTAAAATGAACAGTTTTAAGTTAAATTGGTGTTTTCAGTTTTTCAGTTCTTTATCCAAAGTCTGAAGGAGATACAAAAATCACTTAATTTTCCTTGTGAGTAGGGCTGGCACTACTTTCCCTGTAGGGACCCAGCTTAAGGATCACCACTTCAGTTTTCCCTTGTGGAACAACTTCTTACTAGAATGATGAGGTCAGGACTTGCCCCTCCCCCACAACTATCAACTGTTTTTTGGAACAGTTAGATGATTAGGGAGCAGTTTTTTCTTAAGAGGGACATGTGCTGATCAAACATCTGCTAAAGACGCAGAGCAAAGCCAGAGGACAAAAAATGTTTTTGAAAATATTTCAAAATGAAATAACCATTTTGAGAGAAATAATCAGAACTTAGTTGTACTTTCTTACACTTATTTTGTGGTTTAGAATTGTTTATATTTTGAATGATATTTGGGAGAGTGTCCATATAATCTTTTAGTCTTGGAGCTTCTAAAAGTCTTAATCAGACTTTGGACACATACTCTGGGGAACTCTGAAATATTAAAACCATAACAAGGAGGCTAATCATAGAAGCTATCACACAATGGGATCAGAATAGAAACAACCTTCATGATATATCTGGATCAGAAATGAAGGCAGAATAAATCTATTTCACTACTCATACTTCATTTTCTATTGAAAAAAGCTCAACATAGAGTTAAATGGACATGCCACTGGATATTAAGAAAAAATTTGCCGAAACCGGTTTGGCTCAGTGGATAGAGCGTCGGCCTGCGGACTGAAAGGTCCCAGGTTCGATTCCGGTCAAGGGCATGTACCTGGGTTGCGGGCACATCCCCAGTGGGGAGTGTGCAGGAGGCAGCTGGTCGATGTTTCTCTCTCATCGATGTTTCTAACTCTCTATCTCTCTCTTTTCCTCTCTGTAAAAACTCAATAAAATATATTTAAAAAAAGAGAAAAAATTTAAAACCCTGATTAAAAAAGTAGGGTGAGCACTGGGTAAAGGGATTTTTTTA